GACCAAAATAAATGATAAAATAAAAACTAAATAAAAATAATTTTAATTGAAATTAAGTATTAGAAAAAAATTTAATAAGTAAAAATTATGTATATTAATAAAATATTCAAGTATTATTTTATAAACTTCAAAACATAATATTCAATTAAATATTTACACATTATAAATATTTTTATGTGGTCCATTTAAAAATTAATTTTAAAAATCTAAAAATTTAAATACAAATATTTTTAATAACTAATTTAATAAATCTTTAAGATTTTAAAATATATTAATCTAATTAAAATACAACTATTCCATATTATCAATTATTATTTTAAATATTTATCAATAAATATTTTTAAAATTTTAAAAAATAGAATTTTATATTTTTCTAGAATAATTGTGTAAGAAAAAAAAAAAAAAAAAAAAAAAAAAAAAAAAACCTATTTCTATGCAGGTATAAACTATGCATGTATAAATGTTAATTATATTTTTTTATCATGAATTAAATCCAAATATAGAATTATACTACTTTCCATTAATACTAAATTCTTTAAATATACTAAAAATATTTTTTATACTAAAATATTTAAACTTTGATATTGTCTATGTTTGGAAGACAATGAAATCTTTAAATTCATTTTTTGCTGCAATACTAATATTTACTTATTACATTTTTATGTAATAAGTAAATTATAAATATTAATATATATATATATATATAGAGAGAGAGAGAGAGAGAGAATATTAAATATATCTCTAAGATTTTTATAATAAAAGACATAATAGTAGATATATATCTTTTAATTATTAATACACTTTAGGATTGCATAAAAATGGTTGATAATTCTAAATCAACTTAAAAAATATCATCACATTTTTTAGTGATTATAAAAATTTAAAAAATAAATAAAAAATAAATGATAATGTATTTTTTTATGATTTTGTAAGCAAGCTAACTAATAGAAAAATAATGTGAAATTTATTTGCAATCATATAAGACAAAGTCTACTCTAAAGCTTTGTTGTTAGAGAAAAAATCATTTAAATTGTGGACAATATTTTTTTTTTATCTATTTTCAAAGAAACGATTGATAAATTTTTAGCCCAAGCATGTATAATAATTTATTGCAAATTTTGTAGCATACTATGGTTTTTATAGTCAGTGCACCATATCATATGGTTTCTTGTTGTAAATATTATTTATTTATTTCTTATTAATTTTAATTTTAACTTTTAGAAAGAAAGATCCTTATTTAATATTATGATTTTTTTTTCTTTGATTTCCTTTCTTGCTATCTAACATTCCATATAGTCTATAAATTCCGTATCATTGTCTTCAGCTATAAATTTATTTTGAATTTTTATTTTCAGAAAATATTTAATTTTTTTAAAAAATTGACCAGTGTTTCTTTACTTGTACAAAAGACACATCTTTTTAGTCATAATTTCAAATAATACCCCTTAGAAAGAACAATGGGTCTAACAAAGAAGTGTTGGGAATTGCACCAAATGCAGTAACATTGAAATATCTTAAACCATATCACATCCTTGAGCCAACCTAAAGATCTCACCTAAACCGCCCTGGCACAAACCAAAAACAACCATTCTTCATGTAGAAAGATTCCTAGTCCATTCCAAACCTACCAATGATTGGCAAACTTTACAAAAATAAAGGGTGTGGTTTAGTGTGATGGAAGTGGATGGTTTTGCTCAAGTCTACGCCTTGCTTCAGGGATCAAATGCAAAAACTATTTTGTTAATTTTTATCAATTAAACCATTGCATCAATTCATTTTTTTATTTATTTATTTTTTTTTTCGTTCTTTCTTTTGGAGCACATCAAAACCTTGTTTCTCCACCCAAAAAATATAAAATTAATAAAAATTAAAAATTAAAAAACCTAAAATCTAAAATAAAACCACGCAAGCTAGCTGAAAAACAATAAGTTGACGGTTTAAGATATTCCAACGTTAGTGCTATCAGATTTCTAGTCTGCTTCAGTTGGGTCCCTGGCTTTACGCACCGCATGAACCTTTGTGGCTATGGTGGTGGCAATGAGGACAGCCCACCAGTCGGCACACAGACTGGTGGGTCCACAGGAAAAAAGACTTTAAACTTGGAGAGTGACAGTATGGCTTGGCTAAGAATGCTCTTATCCTCGGATGGTGCAGTAATGAATGTTCTTATCCTCTCTCATTCTCTTCTCCACCGAAAAGAATTCCACGTCATGAGCTTGGATTTCAGCTTAATTTGCTTGGAAGATTCTAGATGGGTGCTCTGAGGAATGCACAACATTGCACCGAAGTCCTAGCACTCAAATCTCATGGATTTCATTACCGTGTTGGTGAGCTCCTCTTGATGTCTAGTACAGGACTTACATGCTCACAGCGCTGTGGAAGAATGGAACCTAGTGGAAAACCCTTTCAACTCAATACAATCAACACATCACTCAACCGAGACGATAATTTGTCTCACCTCATCAATGACTTGCAACGCTCAGAGAAGCAATTCGATAAAGTGCTCTGATAAAAAGTAAAATCTAATTACGAGGTTTCTGCTTTGTCTCAATGATCCAGTAGCTTAGATTCCAATGCTCCATTCGTGGTACTGCTGTCCTCTGGTGGCAACCCAAAGTGCAGAGTCTGTGTTGGTAACTCGGTAGATAGCTACGTCTACATGTATTGTTCTCAGAGATGTGTTCTTAATGGAATCGGCCTGATAATTGTCGTCAGGGATGTATCCTCGACAGGCCTGGAACTGAATCTACTCGTGGAGCTCGTTGTCGGGATTGAAACGTGCATCAGTAGCGTATTTTTGGGGTAAGAATGTTTACGATTCTACATCAGAAGTCCTTGTGTCCGACATCAATGCAAATCCACAGGCCTATCTCTCTTGTTCGCTGTGGCAGTTCCTTATTTTTGCATGACCATGGTGTTCTAACGAAATCCGTTGATTCGAGCCCACTAGCATGAACTGTAACTGCACTTTCCACATCAGATATCAGTTACTATTTTCCCACTGGTCTGGTTGGTCAATCAAATCTGATATACATGTATTGAAATGGCACATCTGGGGGTTTTTTTAGTGGAACTTTGTTTATAAGTTCTAGGAAGGGGCAGCTGTATTAGAAGGCGTTCAATTTTCATGCCAACTGTTGCACACTGCTACGGTTCCAACTAGTAGTTGCCGACATCCATACATTCCAAAACGGCTGAAAGGTTTTGTAAGATGTTACGTCGTGCGAGGCGGAATATAAGCGTCTAGAATGCAAGTTGAGGACTCGGTACAGAGTGTTCTTCTGCAAATTGCTCACGACACACTTGCCTTTCTTCCACAATATCGGACTCAAATACATTTTACTCGCCTTGTGTACAGTTCCAATGCTCTTTGTTCGCATGTACAGACTTTAAAAAGGAAATATACTCAGCGCCACGGCTGATTGCAGTTAATTCTACCCCTTGATTTCAAGTACAGTCACTAATCCCCTCTATTTTATCTTGCCAACCGGCTACAGCGGGATGGATTATGATAGAATCTGTAAACTATAACAATTCTTAGAATGTCACTTAAAGTGTGAGATCCTCAGTTGCAGAACTTTACTAGAAACACTAACATGGAAGGAGGCTACGTTGCATCGAAAAGGAATGGTCTACCCAGTGGAGCCAGTGATCATAGAACTTGAACCCAGCCTGCACAGCCCACAACTTTCTCCACCCGTGTTGAGGCTAAAGTGATTGGCCTGAGCAACTGGGTCTAGGTCCTAAGATAAGATAAATAGCGTACTAAAAATAACTGGTGAGAGAGTGTATCCTTGCGCACTTGCCACACATTGCAACTCGCATGCTACCAAGCATCATCTTTCTCCAATGGTTTTGTACAGGCGTGGAAAGTGGTGCACAACCTCCATGGGAATGATCACATTGCTCACGGGCAAACCAAACTAGCAGTGTCCATTCCTCGGCAACCACCCAACTGCAATTCACCAACTCTGGTTTTGTTTGTGTGTGATCCGAGTAAGCTTCGCTGGTTCTTTTTGGAACTGAGTTAGTGATAGAATTCCCCACGATATAAATAGATGGATGTCGTTGAGAGTACCCATCTTAAGGGACATATTGTCAAACTGTATACATAACACACTCTTGTTGTAACACAAATGCAACTATTTTAAAGCTTCTAAATACTTCATTTTTTTGTGTTATGTCCATTTATAAAAGATCTTTTTATACTAGTCAAATAATCATCTGCTGAACCGAAATAATAATAAATAAGTAAATAGTTAAAACTAATCTTTTTACATAGCAATTTTTTATGTACTTGAATATATTTACATGTTTATTCATGTGTATTTTAAAATTTCAGAGAATACCTTCATTGTAGCGTGTTTCACATGAAGTTGAATTAACTTTAGACAGAATACTTATAAAATTTACTTCAAAAAGTTTTAAATTATATTGTAACTAAAGTAATTTACACTAGTGAATTATTAAACCACACCATCATTCAAAATGAATCCAAATTTTTTTAACAATGTTGAATACATGGGAGAAAATATATGTGTTCTCAAGTTTTACATATTGGAAACTAAAGACATAGGTCACCAAAATGTAATCACAAAGTGAACAAGAATGATTAATCACTAAATGAATTAGCAAGGACATGAACTGACCAACTGACAATCAAATTATTACACGATGTAAAATAAAGCAAATAAAATCAGACAAGCATATGTTGCAGGATGGTACCATCGAGTATTTCCAACACAAGTTGGAAAGAAAAAAAAATTAAGACGCAGTGGTACAAAAAAACGGGGGGCCGAAACTGTGAAGCTGTTTACAACCTGCTTTGGAAAGTACTTAAAAGAGATCATTTTCTTTAAAAAATGAATTGGGAAATAATAAAAATAACAAGAATAATTGACATTCTCTTTTCTATTAGCCTCCAGCAGCATAGGATCCACGGACGCAGACAAGACCCCATTTTACACATCTCTCAGCAATTTATGTAAGTTTCAAAATCAAAACCGAATGTTGCATGAATAACATGCAGAAAATAGCTTTGAAAAGAAGGCTGAAATTTCTGTGTGCGATTAGATCACACAAATCCCTTACCAGTAATGTGAGATTAGTAATGTATACGTTGACAGAGGATACTGAATTAAACATTTTGCTTACAGGCAGGCAGGTTCACCAGCTCGTAGAATCCACTCCTTGTGAGCCCTTGGGTGTGTACAAGAATCTGCTTCAAGGTTATCAGGAGCTGCGCTAATCTCTGTGTGTTTAGCTAGTGATTTTCTACGTATTTGCCTCGATTGTTACAAAAAACAGGGGTGGCTAAGTGACGTATTCGCTGCACTACTAAGAGACTACTGTGAGGTGCCAGAATGGAGTTGAAATTGTGAAACCGGTTGCTCAAGTCCAACTGTTTTCATGGTGAGAGAAACAGTCGTGCGGTCTCAAATCTTCACAGATGAATTGGTAGCTGTGCCATTTTATCAACATGCGATCACGTTGGGTAGGAAACCATCAGAAAGATTCGTTGACTTCGAGAGAGATCCGTGAGGAAACAAAGGGGTTAGCTCGTCGTGTGTCTCATCATCCACCAGCTGCCATTGAATCTTTCCATTCAAACCAGAAAAAGCAATTGCTAGCAGTTCCTCAGCAGAATGCCCTCCATCGTCATCCCAGGACCAAACCCCACCACTACCGTTCATGGATGGATCAGGTGCTCGCTTTCAGCTGGTAGCTTTTGCGCTTCGTCTCGTAGCTTATCCAGAACAAACACAATGGTGGGGGAGCTCATATTCGCATAATTCTCCAAAATATATCTGCCATGTCGATCAAACAGTAGACGGCCATAGATGAATATACAGCTTACAGTTTTTAAGTAGGTACAAATGTGGCATTGCTGCAAACTAATGATCCAAGTTTACGGATCCTTGCCCTCGGGCCATCATGTTGGTGTTGATTGACTATACCTTGTAAATCGGAGCTGCTCCGGCACCAAGCTGCAACCTTTTTCCACTGCATCCACAACTGCTTTGCCTCCAGGATGCACCGCCCAGTTAACAGTATCAGGTTTGAGCTCCGTTCCCTCAAGGAGCAGTTCTACGAACTTGCCACAATTCTAGCCCACAACTGAAGGCACGTTCTTGTTGAGAGTAGCCTTAAGCCCAGACTGCGACAGTTTGGCCTGTAATGATAACCTCATGGTCGTTCAACGGAATGTCAGTTCAAACATGCTAGAATCCAATAGATTGCAAGGAGAATTGAATGCAACACATGGGAGAAGATTTTCTTAGTACATTACCGTAATATGGTGATCTGTATCGGGGATGTATGAAGTAAAGCAACGGTCGACTTGGAAGATCGGTGTCTCATGTTCTGTGGGCTGTGTCCCTACAATCACACCTGCGGCGCCGTCTCCGAAAATGATAGAAACCACGTGGTTGTTCAGGTCTTGCAGGCCAGCAGGGTTGAGGGGCTGCGCTTGTGCAGAATTGATCTCCACACACACAACTAAGACGCGGAAAGCAGCGTCTGCTTGGGCGATTTCCGCGGCAGTTCTGATACCAATCAGACCAGCATGACAACCCATTAGTGACACCCAGAAATGCTTCACGGTTTGGCGGAGGCCGAGAGCCTTGATTAATTGCATGTCAAGGGCTGGGGACGTCATGCCAGACGTGGAGTATGTGATCAAATGAGTGATTTTGGACTTGTCCCCGCCCCAGTTGCTAATTGCAAGTTCTGCAGAAAGAGTGCCAAACTTGATGGCTTCGGGTGCGAACAAATCCATCCTCTTGTCCAACGATGGAGCTCCAAATGTCTGCATGTTGGGATCCCCGTGATACATCTCCCGCCCATGTGCCATATTTTTTTTGAAGATGCCGGAGCCCTTACCTGCTCACAGTAAACACTAATATACAATTAACGTCTATGGACCGTCAACGACATGACAAGTGTTCATTCTTTTCCTGATCACCACCTTCACATTCTCATCGCTCTTATTTTGCATTTCACAGTTGGTTACTCTCATAAACTAGCCGGAAGATGTGTGGTAATGAGCTTACAGACGCGTGCGCTGAATTCCCTTACGGCAGGGGTATCGTTTTCACCGAAGCCATGCAGAATGTCCCTTGCGAAGTCGGACATCGGGAATACGCGATCAGGAGTGGCCGTCCCCGTCCCCAAAACGCAGCTTGGAGATTTGCAGTTTAATGACACAGGAACACGCGCCACAGATCTGTTTGACCTCTTGGATTTTGGATAAGCAGAGGTAGCACCTTTAATTCCAGCTAATGCATCTGCCTGGAGCAAGCATGTGACATCTTCATCAGGCTGCAGCGACTTGCTGTTGCCATGAGCACTGACAGCAGAAATGCCATTCAAGGAAGAAGCCTCTCCAGCTGATCCAGCTTCCACTAAGCTGCAGCTCAACCAGGGACAGCGACCATTGTCGAAGCAGAGGGCCATTGACGTGATTCACGAAGAGTTCCGATGCTCTTGAAGGCTTTCAGTTTGAGTGCAATATAAGCTGCGCCGCTTCACGATGACAAGCCTGCACAACAACAAACGCAGGCCACACCAAAAGGGAACTGGCATCGATAGATTGCAAGGGGAGTGAACTCAGATTCTTGCCTAGGCAGCCAGTCTTCAAATAGGTGAGGACGGCGGAGACAACTGGACGTGGTAGCTACCACGGCATCGTGCCTGTGCGTCCAAACTGCAATCTGTGGAAACGAGACGGTGTATATCTCGTTTTTTGGGCGCATACGAATCGGAGCTAGTTACTACCGCGACCTAGATTTTGGATTGGGTGGATGTACAGGCCATGAAACAACATGATGCACTCCAACTGATTGGGGAGTACTAGGTACCCAGCTGCTAACATCTTACGATTGTACTATAACGGTCAATCACAAAGGCAGTGACTAAATTTGTTCTAAATTCTGATGCATGTCCACCTGTTACCAGTCATCAACGATACCGAATTTGGTATCATTGATATGAAAGGAGGAACTTGTTTCTTAAAGGCGGACCCGACACTACGAGTAGATTGTCATCATGTTAGTTAAGAGAATGTCCTAACGTTGACACTTCAGTCTCACATCTATCCCTTAAACTTGGAACCACGTGACCAGTTCGAGATTTGGTACATCGAAAGAGGAGGAAAGTAATAAGGTGTTGATAACGTCCAGGTTAAGCAGCGAGTGAGTTTCTTTCGGTATTCAGTTTTAATTCGTCCTGCTAGACAACGAATGACGCAGTAAGGACTGCAGATGTGGCGCTAGCCACACCAACGGCCTTGTTTTGTTGCAGGTGAAAGACGATACCAGACTACCAAATATCCAATTTCACGAAGCTTAGCCAATTCCAGAACTCAAAGGAAATTATCAAGAGACATCAAGGTTTCCTCTCCATCAACAACTTCAAAATGTAGCCGAGATAACTGAGGCTATGAGTGGATTTATGAGAGGAATACAAGTGATGAAACCTACTTCTTAGTGAAAATTAATACGGTTCACAGATCCATCTACATTCAGTCATCATCGTTCTCACTACTAAGAAAACTATAAGAGGTGAGCCTAAATTGATTATAAGGGTGAGAGGCTACTCACCAATCAGCGTTGAAAGGTATGTCATTGTCCGCCGCAAATACCTGCATTTCATTTTATCAACGGACTTCTGTCCATCGATTGTATAGTTAGACTCCAAGCAACTCCACATGCAGAGGCAACTTGATGAGACTTGAAAAGAATGTCTCAGTCCGACAGGATTGACCCAATTTCTCTTGGTTTGTTACAGTTGCCAAGTCACATACTTTTCCCTCTGATGCCAATCTCAAGGTCATGGTATTGAAAATAAATTTGAAATTCGTTTGCATAACTAGAACCCGTATCTGTTTACCATGGTCTAGAACCTCTTTTGCACGTTCTCAATATTATACAGATTGACTGCATCACGCAACAACTCACCTACGTTGAGGAATCTACGACCCTTCAATAATCTACTCCTATTATTAGTATTTGCTATCACTGAAGACCAAGCTGAAGGATCTTCAGCTTGAGCTGTTGCAACTTCTAGACATTGTAAACCATCTGGTCTGAGTTCACTTCAAAGATACACTTAGAAAGAGATATTAGAGCTATTCCGACCAATGAAATTCATGATATCAGCAATGAGAGGTGACACCAAACCCTTTGATCTGACTAGTCACAAAGTACAGGCAATTTACCAACTCCATACGCTCTTAGAAGTTAGCTCATGGCTTCTGCTTCGAGGTTCATGTTCATCATCCGGTGCCTCTATTGGAGGACCCTCCAAAGTAGAGGTTGCTCCTCCAACGTCATTAAAACTTCCATGACTCGACATACCCTTCCATACCTCCCACCTTTGATAGTGGATCACTTTGATCTTCGGTATCAGAAGCAATTGTTACTATTTGTGTCTACAGTTTAAGTATACACCTGCAATGACTTTTTACTTACATATTACCTCTGCTGAAATATTGAGGTTTCTTAGAAACGAAGGATATTATTATTTGTAGGCTCAATATAATTAGTCTCAGAATTTAATTCATTAATTATCTCGTTGATCTGAAGATTTTGTGAGCTTTAAAGAATTCAGGATGCGCACACACTTTTCAACCAAGACCATTAGGGTTAGGGTGTCATAGATTTGAAAAACAAGAAGAAAAAAAAAGGTTGACCATCGGTGCAAGAGATAGAGAATCAAGGTGATTCCTAGATTGAAAATAGAGGCCAGTTTAGCTCAATTACTGGATCAATTTCCAGCAGTTTTCTGATGTCTGCGACAATAATCTACGGACAGGTTAAGGGTCTCGTGATTAATGTGCGTCATTCGTTATCAGTTATTGTGTGATAAACACTACAAATTGACAGAACGAAAAGAATCCAAATAGAATTTTTGGTAACGTATATTTCTAAAAGCATTAACATTCTCTTCATATTTATCTACATAACCTCAATAACATCATTGCCAAAGCAGAATACACTGAAAACAGTATTTTTACACCTGGCAAAGTAGAGTCAAATAATTTGAAAATAGGAGCCTAAATAATCTGGCAAATTATACAAGGAGATACAACTAATCATGAACTTGTAGCAGGTATACACTCTACTCATAATGACAACCTGTTGAACCAGGGATCGAATTCTAATCCTATAAAGATAAGATAGCATGAATAGCACACGATTGTGAATAATAACCAGCTTCTCTTTCTGAGACAAAATACATCAACGGTACCTGTAAGGTCTTGGCCTCAAAGTTCCGTCTGTATACACTCCCTTTCCACGCAGGACTTTGTTCCATGAATCATCGTGATAAACAGCTGATTAGAAGTTAGTCAAAATATGGACGACAACAGTTCATTTAGGATACACTGCGTCACAGATAAAGCAGAACTTATAATTGCGAGTTTCAAGCAGGTGACTGTATGGCAAGTCTTACGATATACAGACTGTTACATTTTTAGAACATGAAAACAGCACAAACAGAAATGAAAGAAAGGACTACAGTTACACTCACACTGCGGAAGTCCTTCAGACTATTGCATTTAATCGGAAGTTTCAGCATTTATTGAATCAAACTGTAGAAAATTCAGTAGTAACCGAACATAAAGTTGCATTGAAATGCGAAAACTGAGGATAAAACACTAGAGTAAACCCCCTTCAAAAACGCGGCTGGCCCAGAATCATCACATCCTCAGATAATATCAATGCAACTATGATAGCCTTCACTCGCCAAATACAATGAATAATTCGGATTTCACATATTGAAGTAGCTGTGCACACCCCAAAGCTCACAATAACTACCTACTGCACTCAAAGCAACTATCGACATTGTTGCTTGCGATCACATTAAGTGGATGAACTGTTGCCTAATTGCAGTGCTCACTTCTGCTGACAATTTAACTGAATCTACTGCCCTTTGATGGTGCAAAAAATGCGCAAAGAACTGCTAAGATACTTGCCCACAAGTAGTTTGCAGCAGTAGCCGTAAACCTCATCATGGATATATTGTCTTGAGGAAATACTTTAACAAGCAAATTATATCTCCTGATCTCCAACCTACACTACTTTCTACTCCCTTTCATTACCAAATGTCATCCCCTAAGACTAAATCTGGTCTGAAAGATTATGATCGTTCCAGGATCATATCCATGCCTATATATTTGGAAGAAGACAAACGTACGCCACAATACTCGCAGATTGTTACTTCCCAGTGGTGAAAATTGCTTTACTACCACTTTACAACATAATAGAAACATGGTATGCTGAGAATATGTGCTTGTACAATAGAGAATGAATTAGAAGAGGAAAGGTGAACCTGCACATCATGATGATCCTCGCCCATTACATCACTGGTCGAAAATAAGTCCCCAAGTCCTATTCGTGTTTGGCATTTCTCTTGATCTGCATTCCAGGTTGGTGTGGATGGCATAACCATAGTGCACAGCATTTGGCTACACGCATGGAACTTCGGCGTAATGTTTGGCGCAAAGGGAAGAGAAAGGATGAGGAACTAGTAATTTCAACTCAAATCTCCAACCTCGATCACCTCAATCTAAAAACTGGGCAACTGAATTAGAACCTTAGTAATGAATTCCCAGAAGAGGCGAAGTGCAGGAGCCAGGATCCAACCAAGTAAACACCCGCAATCCGACAGCTACTGCGTACAGTCGTACCACAGACGGAAATGTCTGAACGCCATTAAGTACTCTATAAAATTGGAACCCAATACCAAACTTACAGAATGACCAAAGAGATTGGCGTGTAGTCACTCAATGCATACTTACTTGTTGTAACATTTCATTGCCCGAGCATAGTCATTCCAATGACCCCAGGCAGAAACTAGCACAAAACTCGTCTGGTCGCAATTTCAAAGCATCAAGCCCCACTACAATATGGCGAATAGTCATAAGGATGTTGATGCATATCCATCAGATTCAAGCAAATCTATATACGTTATTGCATCAGGACGAAACAAAGTGGCTAAGACGCTTTCCAAGGGAGATCTGCCATGAGTATATTGCTAGCTAATAGGAAAGGTGCAGCATTGATCACAGGCTCTACGACGAGTTGAGCAGCATCGGTTGATATTGTTAATGCACCTGTTTTTAATGAAGAGGACACCCTCGTTTCTAAATCAACCATTGCAAGCAACCCAATGGGTTTCTTCATCCAGTTGGCCAGAAATTTCTTTATCGGCGTCAATTCATTCTGCAAGATGGCCAAACCAGGAGGTGAGTCTAAAACTCATTCCTCATGTGAAAGGCAGTGTTCACTGAAAATTTAAGCTTCCAGCCCAGTCTCCTACTACCCGAACTAAGCTCACACCACTTCACTTAAAAAAAAAGCTTCAAAACAGCAGCAAAATTGCTTGTCAGAGAAAGAAGTCGATCATCCACAGCGAACGCATTCGAAAGCAAACAAACAAATTCACAACAGAAGTGCACGAACAATTCCCAAAGAACAGTCCTGTAATTTTAGCACAGGGAAACGCCTGACAAGTTCAAACACTAGACGAACTCCCAATCCAAGACATAGACGGTCGAGATCACAACAAAGGCGCCTTCTTCTAGTATCCGATACCGCACCCAAACACTTTTAAAAACAAACCTAAACTGCAACTCTGTGGAACATTCAAAAGTTCACTCAACATCACACCATCGCCTAGAATTCACAACAACCTAATTCCCCAGGTACCGAAATAAGTCACACACCAAGACACCAACAGGACTTGGTGCGCAGCGCCTACGAAGCTACAACACCGCCATAGCCTCAGATTCCTCCTAACACAATCCAAATTACATCGGAATCCACAAACTTCCCAAATTCAACCGCCGCGTGAAGGAAATGTGGCAGCTCATGAGGTGCTGCAAGCAACTACTAGAGTTCATCTGTACCAACAAGAAGAAGAAAACACACACACACACGAAACACAATGCGCAGCGTCGTCAACGCGGTTGCAATCTCATGAACCAGCGAAGTCAAACTGCAACACTAGACTGGAGAATCATCAATGAAGAATGAGCTGCCTGGAGGTTCGCAACAAGAAATGAGTGGCGACAAGTGTAGAGCGACACTCTCTAGAAACCTGAAGCTTCAGCGACGGTGCGTTCGAATGCTACCCTCCCCCCGTCACCGCGACAACAGCCCCACCCACCCATGATCGTAGGAAAAAAGCATCTCAAACACATCGAAATGACGTGAATTCTCATCTCGCTTTGTGCTGCTCCCTAACTGCAGTGTTCAGCAAGTGTTGCAACAGCTGGTGGCGCTGTCAAGAAACATCGTGGCAGATTTTTCATGAAAAAAAAAAAGAAACATGACTGTAAGAAGAGGGTAAGGGGCACAGCAGGGTTCGAGGCATCCGGCCATGCACCCCAGGAATTTCTGGCCAGAAAAGGGCTAACATGTGGCAAGTTACACAACCTTTTTACAAGTTTCCATGGTAGGAAAAATAAGTTTATCAATGCAGAGTTGACAACGAGAGAGATCGAAAAAGAGGGTGGTTGGTGCTAAGACCGTGAGGGGAGCCATCTCCGAGGGCCGCCATGCAATTTCACCCTCTTTAACTCCCCCTTTCCTCGTTCCTCTTTAGCTACTCCCTATTGATTATGCCCTCTCGCAGATTCCAGGTTTTGAGGGCATTTTGCTTTCTGAACGAGTTTAATAAACGAAAAACCATCGAGCGCACCGAGAATAGAGGGCATCATCACGGCAGAGAAAATGGCGAAAGAATAGAGACCGCGACAGAAACAGTGGGATTTTAGCCCCCCTAAGAAATAATATATAGAAACGTTGGGGAGTCAAACGCCTATTTGGAGCGTAGTGGAGGAAAGCCGCATAGGCGTGTCCCCACCATTTTATTATCATTTTTTTGTTTCCTTTTCTTTTACATAGCTCATTCATGGTGATGGTGTTGGAAGCTGGGTTGTTGTTGATGTTGCTTCTGCTGCCGCTACTACTACTGCTACTCATACACAACGAGGTGCTGCGGTATGGTACGGTTATGAATGTAGCGCTGGGATAGAAGGGATTGTTCAAACCCACAGAAGAAAAAGGGGGAGAAGAGAAGGGAAAGTGCAGCCAGGTTTTGGAGGAAGGTGAAGCTCAACTTGGCTGAGGAAGAAGGAGAAGCAGAAGCAGACAGCGAGAAAAAGGAAAGACAGAGGCAGAAAGAAAGTGGAAACGAAGGGTAAGGGAAGGGAAGTGGGGGAAACGAAAGGGGAAAGGGTTGCAGCCTGGAAGATCATTTTTCAGTTTTCTCGTCCAGTTTTCGAGTTTTGGCTGCCTGTGTGGGGAAAGGTTAGTTTACTTCAACTTACCTATTTCACATATTTGTGTGCGAAATGAAAATAGTTTCTCTGCCTCTGCTCTCTCGATCTTTCTCACACGCCTCCCCCCCCCCCCCCCCCCAACTCACTCACCCCTCCCCCACCCCAACTCATTCCAAGTTTACGCACTTCGGTTTTTGGTTGTTTTTTTTTGGGTTGCGTTTAGTTTTGTCTTCTGCAACATGTATTCGTGAGAATGTTTTTTTTTTTTTTTTTTTTTTTTTTTTGTGTGTGCGTGAGTCGACAGTTTTCGGGTGACGGTGGAATGGGTTTGGTTTAGCTGTTGAGTGAGTGAGTGAGTGGGTGTGTGTGTGTCTGAGGAGGGGGACTTGACCTGTAAGCTAGGTTGTGTGAGGTTAAGCCTTGGGTTGACACTCACTAATGCTCGTCTTGACAACGAACGCCCTTCTTTTGCTTATCTGGATTCCCTGAAGACTTGTGTCAAAGCCTTGGAGGCTGCAGAGGTGGTCCACCATAAAGCCAGGCTTGGGTGCATGTGGACTGTCTTGAGTACTAGAATCATATTGCCGTTGGTTTTTCCTGGAGGTTTGTGCACACCAGTGTCTCATGTCCCGGATGGTGGGTTTTGAGTCAAGTTTTTGGTGATTGTCACAGAAGTGGCCAGTCTAGGGGAGGTCCACCATAACGTCGGTGTGCTTCACGGAGGGTTGAGTATCAGGCTTTATCTTATTGCGTTGAAAATGCTCCCTCGGCAGATTCCTGGGTTTTGAGGATTGTGGGTTTTGTGCGTTCGTGGACTTTAGGAGCGTTGGCTTTCGCAATAGGAGACTGGTGGCTTGGTCGTTTGAACGTATACTCTCTTTTGTTCGTGGACCTTACTGGTTTCCGTGTTGCGTAGCAGTCTTCGTGGTCTCATTGCAAGCACACCTACCTTATGGACATTTCCGGCTCCTGAAGTTTGTAGCGCGCAAAGTTAGTTTGCCTTGTTCTTCTACTAAACTACTGCCTCCTTTTCTCGCCCTGGCTTCCGCGAGGTTAGAGAACGAGAGTACATCACGAGACAGTGAAAGAATCGACTTGAGGTTTTTTTTTTTGTTGTTGTTTGAAAATAATAATAATAAGAATAATAATTTTGAGAGGAAGACTTGTACATCACTTCGAACGGGAACGCATTGTAAACTGAGTGAGGAATCAAGCTCACGTCGGAGATTCGAGTGTCTCCTCAAAGACAGAGAGAATGTGTCCAGTCGATGAGTTATGATAGGACCATGGTAGCAAAGGCGTTGCATATCTAGAATTTAACATGTAGTGTTGCTCAAATCAGATTCTTTTCAAGCAATTCCGGTGGAACCAACAGAGAGCTCGTTGCGGGACGTTTCGAGATGGAAGGCGACGCTGCGGGTATTTCTCCGGCTGCGCCACCCGTGAAGCGACGGAGGGGACGGCCTCGTAAATCAGAACTACCACCAACGCCGAGTAGCGCAAAAGACGCTGTGGGATCCCAAAAAGCAACAGGAACTGGTACTGATTCGACGAAGCCGAGGAAGCAAAGGAAGAGAAAAGGTGTGGAAGTCGCCCCAGCTAGTGTGGATGTGTCCATGATTGGGCAACAAGTGACTGGTGTGTTGGATGGAACCTTCGACGCGGGCTATCTCTTAAGCGTCAGAGTTGGAAGCTCAGACATGATATTGCGCGGTGTTGTATTCGGTCCTGGCTTGTCTGTGCCTCTATCAAGAGTGAACGACATCGCACCGGGTGTGAAGCAAGTCAGACGAGAGGAAATGCCCTTACCGCCGGCTTCAAAGCTTCCCATCCCTCCCAAACCTCCCACTCCTGCCAAGCTTCCGATAGTTTCGCCATCCCTGCCATTTGTAGTGCAAACGCCTCCCCCTCCACCCAGTGCTGTGCCCCCAACATCCGCAGTCCTGGAAGCAGCTGCAGCCGTGTTTGGCAATGCCGTCTCCGCGGCCTCGTCTCCAGCTCCACCCTCGACAGGCCTGGTGGCGGCGTTGCAACAATTACCCGGGGGTGGGTACACCCCAGACCCATCCACTTTCTCTCAGCCCACCTTCCAATCCGAGTCTGCGAAGCAAGTCACCCAACAGGCCAAAGTGGTTCAGTCCGGGGCATGATTTCTACCCAGCAGTTTGCATTGCTCAGTGTATTCTTAGTTTTTGGAAGTTTTATTACTGCTGGTGATTTCTCTCATGTTGTTTGATTAGCTGCGAGGTCAAAGCTTGGTTGTAGGCAACCGAAGCTTAGGGGTAACAAGGGGCGGGGTGGGAGGGCAAGTAGACTTCCACCTTGCAGGTGATAGTTTCTGTACAGAAGCATGTTTGGAAGGAGGCAGCAGGAGCAAGCTTGACGGTTACTGCTAACGATGGCGTAGAGATAGCGACAGAGAAAGCGATAGACAGACAAACAAGCAGGCAGGCAGGCATATCCCTCAATTTCGTCCCACATTTAAATCGACGTAGGCAGGGCAGGAGATGATCAACGATATCGTCTTTAGGATTTTGTCAGCATAGTTTTTGTGTGTTCGGAACCTTCACACTCTCAATACAGACACCGCCAGACTCTCGCACCTCCCGTAGTAGCAGCAGCAGCAGTAGCAGCAGCCAGCCACTGCTGCTTCTGCTGCTTGCTTGCTCTCATCCCTTGAGTTGAGCCATCCCAAGGTGTAACATGTCTGCAAGGAAACATTTCCTTTACACTCCAATTTGTTTCTTCTTTTGCATTCTTCAATTCAAAACCACTTTTCCTTTTCTCCCTCTCATTTATCTTCTGTTTTTCTTTTTCTGTCTTTTTTGCTCACTCTCATGTGATTTATTGGTGGAATTACGTTATATCGGTGTGAAAAGATTGTGAATGCCGTCATTGGTCGAATCTTCTCATAGAGAATTTGTGTTTTTTTGGAATACAGTTAATAGATTGTGTGAATTCTTGCTGTTGTGGTTAGATTTGTTTCATGTAGGTAGTGACCAAGCAAATCAAGTTGTGAGTTTTAGCATATTTTTTATTGATCATTTCGGAAAAAATATAGAACACAAGATAAGCATATAAACGTATGAAACCTTTGACACGATTTCATTAGTATTGTGAACTTTTGACCAACAATCCATCAAATACGAATTCAACGTTTTGTTTTTTTAATAATCATATTACTTGTTTCAATAAGAGATTTAAGTAAAACTAGTGACTTAGCTGACAGGTTTGCACATTTTGACATTTATTATCTTGTCATTGGACAATTTAAAATACAAACACAAAAACTTATCAATTTTTAATGTGTTTTAAGGAACAAGGATTAATTCCTTAATCTCTTCCTTTAAGGATTCAAGATTAAGTGTTTTTACAAAGAACACATAATTGCAGAAAGGCTGTTCTGTAGACTGAATTTAAATTGTAATGACTGAGAAGATAGGACTAATTTCAAACAAGTCATAAGATAATTCAGAGTCGAATAAATCCAAAAGACGTGTTTCATATTTTAATTGCTCAAATCGTCAGAAGAATATGCTCTTCACCGTCTTGGGTGAAAATACTAACTTTTAAAAAAGATTTTTTTCAAATATCACGGCTGAAATCTAAAGCGGATAGTAGGAACTGTTAACTTCCTGTTTCATTAAAAAAATTTATAATAGTTTTTAGTTGTGAACGCCTACTCCTGTGGAGATAACGAGCTGTTGTCTTATTACTTTTTCAGAAGCATCGTTGTTATTTAGCCACAGCAGACTATTGTACTCATGCATGGTTTGTTGGGACACAAATATTCGCCATGCCTAGGGATTCAGTATTTCGAGCTTTTCTCACCTGATCATGCCTCGACAAACCCAACTGGACACAAAAAAAATTAAGGATGATCCACAACCTTCTACTCAAATCATCATGCTTAGGAAAAAAGTAACAGCTTCATTTGTTTGAATTTATACAGTTGCACATGAGCCTCTGTAATGGTACAAAATAATCCAAGAGTTAGAGTTTCTCCTCTGCTTGGTTCTTCGCTAACTGTCGCCCTATAACTTTGAGCAACTCATCTAACGGGATAATTGGAAAAGAAATGGCCACCACTAGCAACCACTCATTCAAGTTCAATGGAACCACTCCAAACGAATCTGCCAACCACGGAGTATACAAAATGGCAAAATGCAGCCCCATGGATACTGCAATCGCCACTAGCAGATACCTGTTCACCCAACCGGGCGTTGTCAACAAACTATTATTCTCTGAGAGGGCATTCAAAGCATTAAACATCTCGATAACTACAAGAGTGGACATGGACAAAGTGGAGGCTTTCAATTTCCCCAGGGAGAAGTAGTCACAGGGGTCTCCGAAGACGAACATACGGTCACCGGCCGTGAAAGGAGTGACACGAAAATTAGGCCACAAGGAACACTCTCCCCAGTGGGAAAGCTGGTGGAATGTTACTGTTGAGTGACCGTCGCTTGAGAGGTCTATCCCCAGGAAGCTGGTGTCGTTTAGGTACCAGAGAGCAAAGACACCGACGGTTGCGAGGCCGACATAAGAGCCGATCACCATGAAGCGGAAGAAAGTCCACCCGCTGACGAGCCCGTCGGTGGAGGGGCGGGGAGGGCGTTCCATAATGTCTGGGTCAGGAGGGTTGAAGCCCAAAGCGGTGGCTGGGGCACCGTCGGTGACGAGGTTTACCCAGAGGAGCTGGACTGGGATTAATCCTTGTGGAAATCCGAGAAGAGCTGTGAGGAGGATACAGACTACTTCGCCGATGTTGGAGGAGATCAAGTAGCGAATGAAGGACTTCATGTTGTCATAGATTGAGCGGCCTTCTCGTACTGCTTTTACGATCGTTGCGAAGTCATCGTCTGCAAGGACCATGTCACTGGCCTCCTTTGCAACCTGTTGGAAATTTTGCAGATACACTACTTTGCTCAGCAAATAATCCAAGGATGCTGAGAAACGAATATGTAAATTATCTCACAAATTATCTGACGCCCTACAGTAAACGAATATGGGGAGGTTGTGCAGATTACCTCGGTTCCAGTAATTCCCATCGCAATTCCGATGTCAGCGAGCTTCAAGGCAGGGGCATCATTCACTCCATCGCCAGTCATAGCCACGATTTCACCCCCAGCTTTCAACACACGGACGATCTCTTGCTTATGAATTGGTTCAGCGCGAGAGAAAACGAAGCCTGAACCTTTGTTTCTGTCCCCAAGAAGAAGCTCTCTTCTTTCATTCGATGACAGCTTCATGAAATCTCTTCCGATCAATGATTTAAGAGACAAGTCTTCGTCTTCAGCAAAGAGTCCAATTTCTCGGCAAATAGCTTCTGCAGTGCTTTTGTTATCACCAGTGATGACGACCACCCTGATGCCTGCTTTTTTACAGTCCTCAATTGCGGGCTTCACTTCCTTCCGAGGGGGGTCCTGTATCGAACAAAGCAATCATAAGTTGTTGAATTAAACTTCAGATACTGGGCTTAATCTAACCCCGATTGTAACTCCACAAAACCATTCAATGCTTTGATTGTACTGACACAGTTGTGTGCCCAAGAATAGAGGAAAACAAGCAATGCCGTTTAATTTTAGGCGAAAGAATAGCATACCTGAAGACCGCCTAGGCCCACAAAGGTCAGTTCACTTTCAATTGATGAGTAATTATCAGCATTGACCAGTCTTTGGTGGGCTGGGTGCTCTGGTCCATTGTAGTCGGACATGCTACCGAGGTCGCGCTTAAAAGCACAAGCAAGAACTCGTAATCCCTGACATGCCATTCCCTCAATGCTACTAGTTATCCCCTGCCTAAAGCTGGGTGAAAGTGGAATGATGGTACCATCCTTGAGCTGCACTGAGGTGCATCTCTCCAGAACACATTCTGCTGCTCCCTGCAATAACGAGCACCACATATTACGTTTATCTGAGGCATTACCTATAGCTATCTCATGTATCTAACGCGTTAATCTAATTACATTCTATGTAAACGGAAATGCTATCAGAAAGAAAATCTTGAAAAATGTAACAATTCAATCTGCACAAATATAACAACCCAAACCTACAAAATGTAAATACAATTTGTAATCTGAGAAAGGTACCTTCACTAGAAGTTTGTTGCCGGTATCACTGCCTTGCTCCTTAATTATAACACCCATTGACTTCCGCAATCTGTCAAACTCTAACGTAAACAGCCTCTGACTACCCTCAGCCCAATATTTACACACCCCCATAGAATATTTTTCAGGAGCCGACAACCTCTCTGCAGATATTTCTTCTTGTAGACGTGCATCAGGTACTTTTAACTTCTCAACTAATACCTGAATGGAGAGAAGTTGATGAACATGTCAAAGAAGAACATGAACGTACGAGAGAGAAATAACTTCTGGCCACAAACTTCAGATGCTAGAATTCATGCCATAATGCGTACCTTGAGAGCTGCTTCTGTGGGCATTCCGGTTGCTGTAAAAACACCATCTTGGAGCTGAACCCCGGCATCATTGCAAACAGAACATATTTGTGCAATAGACTGCAGATTTGCATCAAGACTTTCCGGCAAATCAATAATTTCACCATCCCGAGGATCGTATGAAGTTCCAGAAACTCTAAAAGTACGCAAAGAGCCCTCTGTATCCACACCAACCAAACGCACAACCGACATCTGGTTGGTAGTTAAAGTGCCTGTCTTATCTGAGCAGATTACACTAGTACAGCCAAGAGTTTCCACAGAAGGCAACTTTCGCACAATCGCATTTTCTTCAGCCATACGACGAGTACCGAGAGCGAGACAAGTGGTAATAACTGCCGGTAAGCCTTCTGGAATGGCAGCCACAGCAAGTGCCACTGCTACTTTAAAGTAATATGTGGCTTGATCCAGGTTGAACTCAAAATTTGTAGGAAATCCATCGACAATTTCCCAAGAAACGAAGTATTTATAATTCACCAGCCACACAACGATGCAGATGGTTCCCACCACCTTCGTTAATAAGTCTGCGAATTCGTCGAGCTTCCGGCTGAGGGGCGTATCATAATCTTCTAGAGAGGCTTCATGAATCTGAGACTGAATTTTACCTATTTCTGTGTTCATGCCCGTATCAGTTACAACACACACAGCGCTCCCATTTGTTACAGTTGTGCCCGCAAATGCCATACAAAGCTTGCCCTGCAACTCAATTTCATCATCATCCCCTTCCTCGGCTTGCTTTAACACGGGTTGGCTTTCTCCAGTAAGAGAAGCTTGCTGCAAGCGTATAGTTCCCGATTTAAGCATAGCAATTCGCATGTCAGCGGCCACTTTGTCACCTGCTCTTAGCTCTACGATATCTCCTGGTACCAAATCCCGGCTCGGAACGTCCCTGAATTCGGTTGCATCTCTCAAAACGCGGGAGGACTCAGACTGCATCTCCTTCAAAGATTCTAATGTGCTCTCAGCTTTCCGTTCTTGCCATACTCCAATCACAGCATTGAGGATAATAATTGACAGTATTACTAATGGCTCGGTGAAGGCCTCCACTCCCGCTGATTCATTTTTGTCTAAGTCAGAAAGTGCTAGGAGGAATGAAACTCCAGCTGCTGCTAGCAGGATTTGCACTAATGTGTCCTCAAATTGCTCCACAACCAGGAGCCAGAAGGGTTTGGCCTCACCCTTTTCAAGCTCATTCCAACCGAATCGTAGGCGCTGCTTCTCCACTGCGTCAGCACCGAGTCCGCTATTGAGATCTACATTGAAGTGTTGTAGTACCCCTGCGAGGGGTTCAGTCCAAGCTGAGAATCCCACCCGCTTTGTGGCACCTCCATTCTGAAAAAAAGAGTGAGACATGATGGTACAATTTATGTTCGGTATGAAAACGTGCTAGCATACTACAGCTGCATTTTATCAAATGCGTTCAAATGCAATCAAAAATGAAATCTTAAGCATAATAACTTTGTCTGAAGTATCTGTCTAACACTGTATACAATGTGAACCGAAACATGCACCTCCTGTATCATGACTTACTTGGGGTTTTGAAAGAGAGGCCCCTGAAGGAGCGGTAGAATCCACGCTAACTTTGTCTGCAAGATCTGTTGCACCTGCATTTTTCTGGGCCCGTATTATAGGCAGCTTTCGGAGCCTAGAAGTTGAGGACAATGTCACTCTCTGCAGCCCAACGTCGAATTCGTAAGTATCTCACCTCAATCAAGTGAAATAAGCACTTCATTACATCAGCAGGTTCAGCTATTATTAACCCGCTATGTGAGCTAATACGAATAAATTGTATCAATTGAGGACAGAGACATATTAACCTTTCTTCTGAACTGCTTTCTGTGCTCCTCTTTTCTCACATGATGTGAATTTAATTCTCAGTAAACCACTGAAATTTATTCAAGACGATATTGTTATACAGATCCAAGTACAAATTATTAGAAGAGTACACGAGGGCTTACTTGAATAAGGGCAGGATCCTTGAAGCTTCGATCACTACTAATTTGGCGACTTAGAAATGGCTTGGAAAAACGGCTGTTGGGAGCAATGCCCAGGCAAATACCAGCCGAAGAGACAGAAGCATGTGTCGCAGAGGCTGCTGTAATCTGAGCCATGCTCTTCAACTACTTCAGTGAACTGCCCCGCAGTAATATAGTGGCCACAACACTCAAGTGACAGACGTCCGTTGATTCTCGGTTTGCCAAAAATTAAAACCAGTAAGACCCTCGTGTAAATTGTTTTTCTTCAAGACACGAGTAAAACTTGCTTCAGGTATGACCACGTGTAACTGCAGCCGTAATTAATGATGCCGTTTACTGGTTATCTCTCTAAATTTTCAGGTGCACACATGAATGCAAAAAAGAAAGGTCACCTTATCGATCAGGCAGCTACCTCAGCTCCAGTCATGTCCAAGGCTCAATGCAAAAGAACACAGCACACGACTGTCATCTGTTTCACTGAAATGACACTGGACATCATCGCCCACAAAATCATCAAAAATCTCAGTGGCGGAAATGGCAGAAAATACGCTCTCAGCTACACCACAACATGGATCTCAACCGTAATCCACACGTCTCTCCGCATTCACTGCACTTCAAACCTCCCCGGCCTTGTGTCCCACACAAAATGCACAAAAACATCGCAACGAAACTCAAATTCCCCTAAAAAAACTTCTCACTCCAATTCCTTCTCACCTACGAAAAAAACCTCTCGCTCAACCCCCAATGCACTCAAAAAGCACAAACTCCTTTCGCGGACCCAACACAACACACTCTCGCCGCGCACACGGGAGCGTCCACGCCATAGCCAGGAAAAGATCCCGTCGTGAACCCACCAGGGGCCGTAGGATTAAGCGCAAGGATGAGAATTCGAGAAACCACTTGCGAGAGAAGGATGCATTCATCGGAATCGGGATGGGCGTGGAGAGCCTGGAGAGCCTGGTCCGAATCTTCTTCACTTGCATGGGGGTGGATTGGTGGGTTAGATTGGTGGGATAGATTGGTGGGTGGGTGGGTGCGAGTTGCAAATCCACGACGACGACGACGACGTCGACGAAGCAGAAGAAGAAGCCGAGCTGAGCTGAGCGGAGCTGACTGGGTGGCCACAGCAAAGGCCCTGATCTCCACGCCAGAATGACTCGGACTGGCCAAGTGCCACTGGATTCGCCAAGTGGCAGTCTAGCCCCTTGGCTGGGTGACCCCTCCCCCAAATATCCATCCCGCGATTTTCCCCCTTCTAAATCTCGGGTCTCTCTCATTCACACTCTCTCATTCGTGACGTCACTTCCGTATGACGTGTCCGGATTCTGCCACGTGGACAGACGTGAGTTTGCGTGGTTGTGCGACCCCCAAATGTTAACGTGCCAGTGCCCGTGGACGTCTTTTAGCCCCTTTGAGGACATGAATCTTTTTTCATTCTTTAACTTTAAAATTACTTTTCGGTTTTAACTTTAGTGGGGAATTATTTTTTGTAGTTTTTTTTTTGGGGGGGGGGGATTTTTTTTAGTTGTCGCTGTTATGCAATTAATAATTATACTGTTAATTTCTGAGCTTTATTGTTTCAAAGACCTTAATTTACACAACAATTTTTGCTTTTCAAATTCTTTCTGAGCAGTAGTGTTTACCAACCTTCGTTTTTCTTTTTTTCTATGGTCCCGTCATTGTTTGTTGATAATTTATAATTAAGTTGATTAAATGGGTGAAAATAATATTGAGGCTTAGATTGTGTTTTTCCTTTTCATTTCAACATAATTTTATGGTACTCATTGTCATGTATCTGTTAGATTTAGAATGATAAATTATATGATTAAATTTTATTAATTATATTCTTCTCGCTTTAAAAAAACAAAATCACATAATTTAGACTTTCAAGTAAGAAATGATTTTTATTGCATGCAGAAAATGAATTTTTAATTAAATACTTTTCAATTCTATTATAGTTATTGACTATATATAAAAGGAAAGTATACACATAAAGATTTTAGTGAAATAATGCAATACATTATCACATGGATTGTTTCTACAAGCATGCAATACACCACTTGCATTTATTTTTCATATTTTCAAATGATTCAATTTAAATTGCACTGAAAAACGTTTCTATGAACCAATCATCCATATCCTCCACAAATTCTACACTAATTTACTACCATAAACACAATTCCAAGGATTACGGTGCCATGTTTAATCATCAAAATATTTGGAGCATTTATAAAGATTGTTTAAGTATAAATTTAACTAATATAAATATTGAATTTCTTCAAAATTATTTGTACCTCTACTAACCATACCACTCAACATCATGGCAATTTGATTTCAACCAATTGGATGCTATTGTAAAGCTACCATTTGAATGAATATCAACATCCTCTTAAATACTATATACAATAATACAAGTATATTAGTTATATGTAATATGGAAAACGATTAAAAAGTCTCACAATTTCTTTGAACAAATAAGATTGTTGATTCATAAATAAACTATAAGGTTTTATATTATATTGTGATCTTGAGGACAATACCATTATAAAGATTATTAATTAATAGGATATATGATTAGCTTAGAAAATATGGTACGATGTTGATACAAATAAGCTTAAAAAAACATAATCCATATTACCATGATTTTTATATAAGTCACTTGTATGCATAGAATTAAGAGTTTAATTAAATAAAATATTTAAATAATATATATATATATATATATATTTAGAGTTTGATAAATTCAAATTCAACTGGATAAAATACATGCTACATAACCATAAAGATATCACTCACCATAACTTATAATTACAAAAGTTATAAAATATATAAGTGCAAAAATTATTCTTTTACATATTTATATTGAAAACCACTTTTTTCTTAATCAAGTGGGCCAATGTACTTTTAGTAAAGAAAATCCTAACATCCAAAACTGAATTTTATTATAAATTAATGTGTTGTTTAATTATCATGTAATCTTTTTGCATAATCAAGATCCTATACATAACAAAGTATGATGTATAATTGTAATAAGTAAATACTTTTATATTCATGTAATGAACAATTAGAATTTTGTTTTAAAGCAAACATTCAATTTCCTAATTGAAACAATGCTTAGCACATAAAAAACATTAGATTCTATATATATATATATATATATAGAGAGAGAGAGAGAGAGAGAGAGAGATACATATATGAGAATGATAAAATAACCCAATTTTTTACTAAAGCAACCCATCTATCATCACAATCATGAAAAAATAATTACTTCTAGATTCATTTTTCTAACATTGGATTTGCAACCAATGAAAAGAAAGCACATTCATCTACAATCACAATAATTTAATCTTCATTATTGCCATCCATAATGATAGCTACAATAGTCTTTAATTATAAAATCCTAATCATTTCTTTAAAAGAATGAGGGACCTACTACAAATTTATCTCATTACTTCACTTCTCATTGGGATGACGGTTTAGTTGGCCTTCCCTTCCTTTACAAGAGGAGTTGCTTTATTCTCTTGGCCCTCTCATTCTATTGCTTCCTTGCCACCCTCTTCTCTTTGCATCACTACCTACCATCCTTCTCTCTCCACATTGCTACCTTGCTACCCTCCTCTCTCTATATTGCTACTCTCTTCATTATTGTCCTTAGTATATTGATACGAGGTATTAAGCAAACCACATATTAAAATTGTTCTATTAAGAAAACTACATATTATAATTGTTCTATTAAGCTTATATCTATATAAAACATATTATAGCTAATATTAACATTATGCAAGGCATGTTATAGTCTTTGGATTCATGAAGTCTAGACTTTTCTTTCAATATTGTGGTTTTATGTGAAGTAGTCAAAAGTATTTGATCTTCATTCTAGTTAAAGATGATTTGTTTCAACTCAATTAGAATTTATTCATTTAAAATGAATGTAATTGCTTTTTTATGCTACTTGTCTCATTTTGTGCATCTCCAAATCTCTATTTGAATGTTGATGTGGGAATTATATCACCATTCAAATATAAAAAAGTCTTTGTTTTAAATGATGGCGATGAGGTGAGCAATAAAAAATCTTGATTTTTGATAAAAAATAATTAACATTATTGAAATATAAGACTACTTGCAAGTTTGTGGCAAGAGATGTCAAGAAGTCAATAAACTTTATACTTTTCTTGGTTTGTAGTTTGATTTTAATATATATGTACTGACCAATTTATAGATTTAAAAGACAAGATGATTTTTTTAAGGTGTTCTAAGATTGTTATTCTACAAGCTGCATCTAGTTGATTCTCGTGCAATTTTATAAAAATTATCTTGTGCTTTGTTGAATGAGTAGGTAGATTTGGACCTTAGTAATTATGAGGAATTTTTGGATGTTACTTTGACTTACAACAACAATATGACTACCGAATAGTTGATCAAGAAGAAAGTTTCTTCCATTGTAGCATCTCTTCAAGTATTTGTGTGCATGTGTGGGTTGAGCTTTCATTTCCTTGATTTTTCACCATGTTCATGTTCTTCTCTAATTATATATTCTATATTGCAAAGCAGTACAGATTGATTGTTGATTTGTGTTTTCTTCTTCATTAGATTATTATATCAATAATTGGATTAATCAAACTTTTTTTTGTCAATGGTTTCATTACAGTAATAATAAATTTCTAGTTCATGCTCTTTAGGAGTAGTATATTTGGTTTTGTTGATTAGCCTAATAACTATGGAATGGCAATAAATATGGCATGTCAACACAAGCCGCTTTGCTGGATTTTGTTTGTTAGGCTGCTACTTTAAGTGTTTGTTTTTTTGGAGAGAAGAAGAGAAAGAAATTCAATTTTGGGCATGTTAGTGATTTAATCCATCTATTGTTCATTAGAAGGTGCAAAGTAGGACCTTATTTTGACATTTCAGGGCTATAAATCTAAGGTTTTGGATCTTAAGCACAGATTATATAGATGGTTGGGGGATCTTTGTTGATTACTAAGGATATGGAGGTATGCAAGATTTTGAATAGTGTGTAATAGGGAGCAATGGGGGCTTTTTTGCAGATGCAATAGTTAGCTCTATCATCAACATATATATTTATGTGTTGTTCATCAGAAGGTGTTGTATATTAGATGATGTCACAAAACTAATCAAGGATCAAGTTGTGCTTTTCAATAGGCCATTTCTTTGCACTCATTACAATTACAATTCAAATAAAATGTTCTTTCTATATGGTCAACTTCATTTAATTTTTTTTAAATAAAATTCAAATATCATTTAAACAAAATTTGAATGTATATATTATTTTGAAATGTTAATAAATCTTCATTAAGAAATGAAATTAGATACATCATTTTTACTTTATTAGTATGAAATAAATTGATGATTAATATCACTTGAAGTAATAATCATCTATAATTTTTCAAATGACTATATGTAGTACTTTTTAAAATATTTTTATTAACATACTATTAAGCTCTATTCTATTTGTACATTATTTATAGATAATTGCAAGGAAAAATTTATCCTTGTAGGACATATGTGGATATTATGTCCCATTGACTTACAATTGATGCAAAAGTGTCTCCTTGTTCTTGCTTCTATAGTTTCAAACTAAAAATGCAAATTGTTGTGTGGATGTTTTAATATACATGTCACTTCTACTATTTCTTGCTCCTTGAAGTCTTCCCTTCATACAACTTACTTGTTGATTTTTTAATTATACAGTTATTGTTGAAAGATCAACTAATCTTTCATATAGATTCTCTTCTTGATGAAGAAATAAAACATCAAAAGTTTGACTAACAATAGCATCGAGTAGATGTAAACTTTCAAAAGATAATGAAATTGTAGGTGGTATTAGAATAAAGTGGTTAGGAGTATTTACTAAGTAGTATTGATGATGAAAATCACTAATTGACAAAACATCTCCTCTTCTCAATAAAATTCTTATTTGATGCTTATATAATAGGCCTAATGTATTTGTCATTGTCCTAATATACTTATTCCAAAGATTAGTCTACTCCAAATCAAAAAGCTCTACAAAACATGCACTAATCATAGTGATTCAATTTGCAAAGAATGAATACCATCCTAATTCTACATTGTTTAAAAAGTATTTTTTGCAATTTGCTAATACATTTTTTTATATATGCTAAATGCAAATTAATACTTTTGAAACAAAAAATATTAATTCAATGGCATTTATTAATGCTAAATCCCTATCAACACCTATGCAAATGGGTCAAATTTCTCCATATACTGCTGAAATTGGATTAATGCCTAAGAAAAGAAAGATTCTATTTCTTTATGGAAAAAAATAATATCAATGGTAAATGAGGTGTTAAAACTTGTCATTTCTACAATATGTAATATTTTGAATTATTCATTTTTTATATGCAATCTATGAAAATGGAAAAATGGTATTTTTTTGCAAGTTGAATACAATCAAAATGTGCAAAAAATAGACAAGTAATTTTATTTTTATCATCACAATGATAAGTAAAATGGTAATTAGCTTCTTATAAAGTTTCTATAAGACATATAATAAGTGATTGTCGAGTAAGTGCAATGCAATGTAATTTTTGTTACTCATTATAAATAGTTTGTGGAATGACTTTGCTATTAGTATCACTCTCTTGTAAGGCAACAACATTTTTGGTGGAATGCTTGTCGCTAGCAATTCTGAAGTTAGTTCTTTTTTGATTGGTTGCAAACGGCAAGCAAATAGATGGTCTAAAAAGAAAAGAAGTAACTCCATAGTTGTGAAGAACATTTCAAACAATCAAATGCAATTGAGTACTATTATATATACAACAAGCATGCAATATAAATGGGCATCTTGTTAGATGTCTTGCACTATTTCATTTATTAGTATGAAAATTTCAATTATAGTAAACCTCTCCTTTGTCACACTTGTAATCAATGTGATCTTTGTCATACCATCATTTGCATACGGCATAGCCTTGATTATGTATAAATTCATCAATACTATATTTCATTTCTTATATACTCTAAAAATATCCCTTTAATGGTGTACATAGATATTTTTCACTTTCTATTGCAAAATGAAAAAAAATTATAGAACGTACAATTTTATTTCCTCTATCCACTATACACAATCTAGAAAAGAATATATACTAAAATAAGATGAAGAAGCAAATTTAGTACATACATAATTACAAGGTAAGTAAGAAAAGAGTAATAGAAAGACATTATTACTAGCCATTGGGAACTATTGAGAATTTTTGGGAATTATATCCAAAATAATGATTTTGTTATCCAAATATAGATTATGGTCTTAATGACGAAGAAGATTTGTACTATCCATGTGCAAAATTTTGATGATGGATGGATTACTTTTGTAAAAATTTGGGTCGCTTTATCATTCTCCTAGATATAAATATATATATATATATATATAAGAACATATGTAAATATTTTATAATATTTAAGAAAAATATTGTAAGTATATTAATTTGAAATATGTTAATAGTTTTATATACACTATAAATAGTATTTATTAAAAAAATGTTTAATAACAAGAATATGAGGTGATCATTGTATAAAATTAGAATTTTATTAAACTATTAAATGAGCATGATAAAATGTATGTATATATATATATAACCGGATAAGAAAGAACCACGGTCAAAAGGGTCCGTGAGGGCTTCCATGACCTTGCCAGCGGCAGCGGCTGTTCTTCTCCATTTGCGGCCGCCGCCTCTGCAGCCGCTGGCCCCTCGCGGCGTCTTCTAGCGTCTTCGATGCTGGTAGAGTCAGCAAGCTCGGCACCTTGTCAGCTGGGAGGGTTTTAAGACTACATACACGGGGCGGTGGTGATGCTGTGGAAATCTGTACTCTCCTCGCCCCTGTTTGATCCAACGATGTTGTAATCTGTGCTCCTCGTTACTCAGGTGAGCCTCATCTGTTGTTATTGTGACCCCCTGTTGGATTGCATTCATGCTCATTTGTGCTCCTTTTTTGGTTGCACTTCGAACGGGTTTTCGAAGGGGGAAATTGTGAGGTTGTTTTTTGAGGTTTGTGGCACTTGCTGTGAATTGACATGGACGTGACGTGGTTTCGACTTAGGGAGAAGAGGGAAAAAATAGGGTTATCACCATGACTGGATCAGGGAGGTTCTTCGTTGGTGGGAACTGGAAGTGCAATGGTAGCACCGCGTCGATCAAGCAGCTCGTGAACGAACTGAACAGTGCCAGCATTGAGAACGATGTCGACGTTGTTGTCGCTCCCCCGTTCCTCTACATCGGTCAGGTCATCGGGTCCTTGACCGACCGTATCGAAGTCTCAGCTCAGAATTGTTGGGTGGGCAAGGGTGGAGCCTTCACCGGTGAGATCAGTGCCGATCAGCTGGTCGATGTCGGCGTGAAGTGGGTTATTCAGGGCCACTCTGAGCGCCGGCACGTTATCGGAGAGTCTAATGCTACCATCGGGAAAAAGAGTGCATATGCATTGTCCAAGGGATTGGGCGTAATCGCGTGTGTTGGAGAGAAGCTTGAGGAGCGTGAAGCTAGCCGCACCACTGCGGTTGTGTTCGAGCAGCTGCAAGCGTACGCCGACGAGATTTCTGATTGGTCTAAAGTCGTCATAGCGTATGAGCCAGTGTGGGCTATTGGCACTGGCAAAGTTGCCACTCCCGAGCAAGCGCAGGAGGTGCACGCTGCTATCCGTTCGTGGTTGAGCGAGAAGATTTCGCTTGAGGTTGCCTTGGCTACTCGCATCATCTATGGTGGTTCTGTTAACAGATCCAACTGTGCTGAGCTTGCGAAGAAAGAGGACATAGATGGATTCCTTGTAGGAGGAGCGTCGCTTAAGGGACCGGAGTTCGTCTCAATCTGCAATGCTGTTACTGCAAAGAAGGTTGCAGTATAATCTCGGGTAACTCTGCGGCTGTAGGCTTCATGACTCTAATTGAGAACTCTTGCTTGTAAATCATCAATGGAAATACTGGACTAGGAGTCCGCAATCATAGTGAACTGTGTTGGTACTCTGCAAAATTCCTCTGGCTTCTCATGGTTCATTGAGTCCTTGTTTTAGTGCGTGTACTTCCCAAATGCAGTCACAATACCACCACCTTGAATTGTGCATGTGATTGTATGATTGTCTAAAGTGATCAATTTGCTTTCTTTTGCGCAAGAGCCGCTGCGGACCAAGTTGCTGACATTGCCTAAATGCCAATCGTGAAGGATAGCATTTTTTGTCAGCCACAATACCGATATTTGAGTTTCCCTCGGCACTACGAACAGTTTCACCAACGAATTTTGGGAAATTTTGCTGCATACCTTCGTACTAAATATGCCTCTGCTTAAAAACTTTCTTTGTTACAAGTTGGACTCGAACCACCGTTTTGATGTGTAATGATGTGAAACGTAATACATTTTAAAATTCGATGGAATCGACGTTGTAAAACATTAAGAAAGATTTCCATTTTATCAGTTTTGTGATAATTTGCTCTCTAATACACTCCAATAATGTTTTTCACAGGGTCGGTGCTGTCTTTTTAGCTAGATTTCGACTTATCATGGGAGTTGTCTCGCAGAATGAATCGTGCCCACTTAGCTGAGGAGAATGGTCCTCATGCTCTACCATTCACTCGCCTTCGAGAAACGGTGAGGCTTTTGTGCATGCACTACTGATGTTTTAACTGCGTCGTCGCACTAACACTCATGCATTTGTCGAACGTTCCGAATGTAAGACTTCTGGATCAGAGGACAAACCTAAGTGAACATTTGATTTCATGTAATTTTCCCGAACAACACCTCCTTGACTGTCAAGTGTGATGCAAAATGTTCAGGATTGATTTTATAAGATCTATCTGTTAATGAGCTTGTCTCAGTGCACTCAAACTCCATCTCCAACTTTGTACTTGTACAACCAGAAACGCAAATTTAATGTAATAATCCGAGAATAGTTAAGTATAGTACCCCTCTTTAAATCCGTAACTGAGCCGATCACATCAAGTATTAGTGTGGTGCGTTTGCTCAATCCTTGACACTGTAATCAGGTCACTTAATCCTATTCCGAATCTGACCAAAGACGCTGTAAGACAGGTGCCATGCTTTACGATCTGTCGAAGTTTAGATACACCATTTGGTATACCACTGACCGTCATGGCTGCTCAGTTGTTGCATAAATAGATCTATTCGATAATTGGACCTTCAGGACTAACTCCATGTTATGGCACGCTTGGGGAAACGCACACGCTTCAGTGATGATGGAAAGGCTCTAGGGACAGCAGGGCGACCATGCAAGCTGGAACCGTATCACGGTTGCTGTCACTGGGTGGGTGAGCTTGCTTTTTCATGAAATTTATGGCGCACTTTCAAATTGCTTTTCAGCTTAGTTGCTGATTGCTGTTGTCTTCGAAGGTATGGTCAGAGCTTTGCGTGAACTTAATCGTCCGATGGAGCTGAGAGGTTAAGGGTGTACAATATTGCATTCCCCTCTTTCTGACCTGTCGTAATTCTCTCTAAGTTTTTAGGTGGAACAACTTTGGGGACGGTTACTCAAGGTTCCAAATGGGAGAGCAATCAAAGATTGTCTCAATGACCCAGACAATCATTGTCGAAGCTAAGGTGCTCAGAAGGAATTCTGACACAGCTTTCATCTTTGTCTGCAGATTCGACATCGAAACGTGAAGTTGCGAGCTGGTTTCCGAGACATGGTGGGAATTCGAGAAGTTTTCGAGAAGAGGGTTCCAGTGAGTGCACACAGCATTGAATTCTTCAGTTCGATCAACACGAGAACCTTAGTTCTATTCATCTGCATGATGTGATAGGTTGTATTGCTCCAGCGAATTGTGTCAGAGTGATCAGAGAGTGTGTTCTTCCCTGCAGTTTCAAGTGCGTGGTGTCCAGTGGCTAGACAAGACCTTTGCCACGGATAGAGGGAGACGGAACAATGAACTGGATCATCGATGCTGGAAACTTGCAGTTCTTAGAAAGAGGTCTCAAGTTGACCCATGAAGGGCGTGTGCATGTCAGATGTGATGAACCTCTTATGCACAACAGACTCTGCAGGTGTAAGTCAAAGGATCCACGAATTGAGTTTGGATACAGTCGATGGCGACTGGGTGTGATATATTTGTATGTAGCTTCCATGCCTGTCTGTGCTTCCATTGACCGAGCAAGAGGTATTGATCAGAACCCAAAGTGTGGTCCAACTGTCAGGGGCTGTCGAAGTGGAGTTTCAGCTGTCCACGACGCTTTTGTCGTATCCTATTTTATTGTATGCTGATCCGACAGCGTCAGCAATCATGTTCCGCTGTTTGATTGCAGGGCATGTGACAGGAGTTGACTTACAGCTCAAGTCTTCTGGGCGTTAGTTTGTTGGAGATCCGTGTTTGGATCACTCGGTAGCGCCTCTGTGCTCGTACTCATTACAACGTGTATTGATGACTGATCTACTGAAGCAAGGAAAACACTAAGGAAATGCTGCTAAGAACGACATCAACTCTGCTATCGAACGGGAGATTGGTTCCTGGAAGTTCCTTATTTAATTCAATACGCTCCCGAACCATCGAAAAACGGTGGTGAGAGGGTCGAGCGCCGGATTGGGAGGGTGATAGCAAATAGCTCAATCAGCTGAATCCCACGTAACAATTTCAGCTTGCAGGACTGTTAATCTTCGCAACAACTTGGTACACAGTTTCTTCGAAACAGGTGTGTGATTAGTCAAGGTTGTGGTCACGACGCTGTGGAGGGTAACACCGAGCATGAGAAGGAACAGTAATAAGAGGAAAATCATAACAGTACCCGTGAAGAGTGAGAAATAAGGGGGATGGTTATACAAAAACCAAGCAGGTACAATTCTTCGTTCTCGGCCAATCTAAATAGACTACAGGACAGGCTGCGCGGAGCGCATCGTCCGGGCTCGAAGCCACAAGCAGATCGGAGCGCTTGATTGGCTACTGAGCAGCGCGTCGGCCGACCTGGGAAGAGGGTTCGCGATATCTCGATTTTTACAAAACCTAATTCCGGAACCCTAATTTTGCAACCCTATTGTTCCGTAATCGAATTGGTTATGAGCGTGACAACGCGGCAGGTGGATTATGGGAGTTAATTTAGACGTGCATGTAACTAAGCCAAAGTTATTATGTTGATTAGTTACATTTTAATCACATCAATGTCTTTGTTGGAACGACATTAATATTCACTTGTATGTGTTTTTTTGTAAGTAAAATCAACACCTTTCTATAAATAAATATAACTTTGACGAGTCATTTTACGAGTGTTATTTTTAAGAAACATTATTTCAAAAATAGATTCGACGTACAACAGAATATGTTCATTTTAACAAATTATAATTATAAATTGGTTTATATCATTTACAACTGCATTTTGTTGTAAGTGCAATAACCAAAGTTTCAAAATTTTGGATCTAATAGCTTTAAATTGTTAGCATGAGTCCTGAAATCCAAAAATATGAATAGATTTTTGTTTTTGAATACATTATTTCATTGTGAGCACAAAATTTATAAAATGTGTATATAAATACTAAGATTATCCTTGTGACAAGACAGTTATACAGAAAGAATCAATCAAATTGTTCAATACATAATCAAAAAGAAAAGATCTGTGGTAATCATAATCAATAACTTTTAATTGATCGTGCTTGACTCTAATGAACATGATTTGATAACATTGTAATATTTTTGTCATGATTGATGTTTTAATGTGCATGTTCAACCCACAATTTAAGAAAAACACACACACCTACATTAATAGATATATGTCCAACTTATTTTCTATTTAACTTCAGTATCTTATATAGACTCTTTTTGATTAAATCAAAATTTTCTTCTATTATTTTACTTTTTATTATGTTGAAGAATATATCTTTTTTACTTTTTATTATTAATCATTACACATATGACACCTCAAAGATTTTACATATATATATATATATATATCTAGACTCATCAATATCAATCCAAAGTGATAATAGTAGGTGTTGCTTTGTACTCATTTGCTTTGTCATGTGGCTATTTGTTGAGATAGGTTATCAAACACAATGCTAATTTTCATAATAACGAATGACGGTAATCAATTTTTCAAGTAATGTTCTTCAAGTGAAGAAGTAAGATGCAAGTAAAATACATGCAACTTCTTGTAATGATCATGATTTCAATACTTGTTTAAGATGCTTGAACGCATTGGAGGTTACGACAAGCAGAAGTTACACTATATTTATTTAACTATTTATCATTTAAACTAAATTCTGTGATTTTGTGCTTTGCTGTAAACGACAAAGCCACCCATTTACTCAAAGAAACGCAAGAAATCACATACTTCGTGAAATATACATATGAATATATGAACAATGGCGATCCAAACAAAACACAACAAGGTATAAAAAAGAAATAATATGAGGACAAGTGCAATTGTCAAGTCTCCCAGTCACATGCAAGGATAATACACTATTGTATCCCAAAATTTTATCTGACCGGTTTTGTTCGTGCATAACTTTTGCTTTTTGGATATAAAGAGAGGGTAGCGTGGTCCGGGTCGTCTCCTAGTCCCGCGGGCCCCATCGACAGCTGGGAGGGCCGGACCGGGCCAGGTACGGCGTAGGCATGGGCGCCCTCCGAGCCTCGGAGGACGGGCTACGACGCTGCGACGTTCGGCGGCGCCGGCAACCGCGGGAGGAAGGGCGGCACGTGGATCCCGCCCCACTCCCACGCTCATGCCCGTTCCCATGCCCGTGCCCCATGCCTCGCCCACACCTCGCTGCCCACACCCTCGCTGCACAGACACGCTGCTGCTGCGCTGTGGGCCATCGTTCGGAGCCTGGATCCTCCGCAATGGCCACACAGTGGAAGAGGAAGAGCAGGAGGGGAAGAGAGTGCAGGGCGTGAAAGCACTCTCTGTGTCTCTAGTTTGGTGTCTGGCTTTTGGGAATCAGTTTCGGCTTGTCTCGTGGGGAGTGGGGAGGGAAGGAATCGCCTGCCTGGCTGCCTGGCCACACAGAAAGCGAGAGACAGAAAGGCAGGCTGTGGCAAAGGTTCATTAGTTCTCTCGCTTGATCAGCTTTGTTTCACTTTCTCTCTCTCTCTCTCGCTCTCTGTTTTTCTCTCCCCGTTCCTCCTTCGGCTGCTAATGATGGAGTCGAGTCGTCGTCTGTTTCACGCTCTCCCCACGCATGGATGCAGGAGTAGTGGGGTTCCGCCTGGTGTGCTTGGCAGTGAGGTACAAGCCACTAGGGGGTGCGACGCCCTCGCCTAGCTAAGCTTCAGTAAGGTTGCGCCGTTTTACGCTACACAATTCTCCACATAAAGTAAATATAAATATTGCGACAGGAGCACACCAATCCGGTGCTCTGCACATGGATAGAGGGGATTCGACTTCTCATTCATCAGCCTCTGGACCATCGAGATGGATGAATGAGAAGTCGAATCTCCTCATTTAAGGCTAGGGTTATATTCTATTCTAGAACACTATTTTGAGTCATGCATATGATTACTTGTTGGTTTTTGTTTTTGTTTCTTGTCTTCTTTTTTAATATATATGAAAATATAACTCTGTTTTTATATAATAATTATTGTGCACGGATGAGTTCCATATGTATATAAATGTATCTTATTAATATAAAATTTGATGTCATTGGTGACAAAGACTAAAATACAGAATTGTTTTCTCAAAAGTTTTTGTCATGGACAAATTACGAAATTGAACTTCATGAAACTTTCAAAATTCTCGGTGGATGTTTGAATTCACTTGGAACATTTTGTTAAGCTTCAAAAGATTTTTACAAATCTTTAAAACATCCATTTAAAATTTCTTTACAATTTGGCCTTCTAATGATATTTTATAAGCTTCTCAAGTATTTCATAAAAAGCTTTCCAAACCTCCACAAATTCAATAACCCTGTTCAAATTTTCATAGTTTTTACAGGATCAAAGTATGTCAATTCTTGTAAACTAAAACTGTGGGATATTTATTTCGTTTTTTTTTAGCACTGTTTTTCTTAGAAGCTTTTTAAAAATTCATCAAGTTGCAAATGTTAAATATTTTCAACATGGATCAACATTTAAAAATTACTATTAACTACAATCCCAACCTTCACAAATATATTCAAGTTATGTAAGGTTTTATAAAATCTTTTGATATATGCATGAAACCCAAGTTTTAAGTATATAATTTGTATATTCTATTATAAGTATTTTTTTTATAAAGATTATTGAAGAACAACTTCAAATTAAACTATTTAATGATATAATAGCTACATAATATTAGCAATATCCATAAGTAATTTGTTAATGTTTATATTTAAAATTTTCAAAACATAGATAGATTATTGTTACTTTCTACTAATAAAAATAAAAATAATAAAAATAAATAGAAATAGCAATTATTCAATAAAGAATTGACAAATTTTAAGAATTTATTCTAAAACATCGATTTGTCTAAAAATAATTTTATGATTTTAAAGAAATGTTGGCAATCTCTATAATGTTGATGATCAAACACACACACACACACACACACATATATATATATATATATATATATATAATTGGAATGTATTTATAAAAATATTTATTAATATTTATTTGACTATCTCATGTTATAAATATTAGAAGTCTATGATGGTCATATTAAAGCTAATCAGTACTTTAAAAGTATAATCTAATTGGATGAAAGTTTTGGTAAAAATATTTATATTAAAGAAATACAAGTTTTAATTAACAAAATATACCTATCTGAAAAGAGACCAATTAATTGTTTTTGGTAATATCCAATTAGATACAACATTTTTTTATAAAATTTGGCAGAATTTGACTTTTTGAAACCATCCTCTATGGACATTTTGAGTTTATATTAAATGGAACTGGATAAGCGAATACATAGTATGATTTCAATTTGAGTTTGCTTGTTTAAATATATTCATCTCTCTAATAAGAAATCTATCTAAGTAAAATTAATAATAAAATTTCAATAAGTTAAACATCTATTTAAATAAAACATTATAATAATCTTGTATGATCTTTATGTATTTTTACATATCTAAATTTAGCACGTGTGGAATAACAATTTCGTTTACAAAAAATATACATATAGGTTTTAAACAATAAACATATAATTGTGTATATCATATGAAATAAGTTAATGAAATTTACTTCTGTGTTTTATTCATTCATTTATTTGTATTGTGATATTAATTTTTTATTCAAAAAGGCACTATTGAATGAATGTATTTCCAAATATCATTTTAAAATTAACAATAATTATCTACAATAGATTTTTATTCTACTTTAGTCTTATCAATATTGTTTATTAAATAAAAATGTATTTATGATAATCCATTTAATATATATATATACATGTATTTCAAATTTTATAAAAAATATAATTTATTTTTATTACTTGCCTAAGATTTTACTTGCTTGTACAAATGATACCTGCCAAAGTAACTGGATGGCATGACATCAACAAAACAATGAGGATGTAAAGAGTAACAAATAATGCTGCCATGATTAATGAGGCGCAACTTGAGGTCAAAGAATATTTAAGGATTGAAAAAATATAACAATAATAAAAGCCCAAGTAACAGTTCTTTTTTAATGTATTCAAATATTATCTGATTTCCTACAATGAAAACAGTTTGCTGTTGAGCTGAAAAAAAATAAATAGCTTTCATTTTGAATGCTTATCAATTCTGTTTTGTAAAGTTTATAATTATTACAATTTGATATATAGATTCCAAAACTGTTAAGTTACCTGTTTTAGAGTTCACTTTGAATCTTTATCATCAATTTTTTTGAGAAAAAAATATTCATATATATATATATATATATATCTTTAAAAATTATACATAAGCATCTCCTGTGTAATTCAAATAGACTATTTGACACATATATTTGTTAAATAAATCCCAAGTTTCAATTTGTAAATGAAAATAATTTATTATCAAATATAATTAATAATTCAATGTGAATTTGATGTTTTATTTTGTGAACTTATTTGAACGCCTTCATGACTTCAGTTTATTAACTTCAAAAATAAAATACTAGAGACACTCTTAAAGTATCATGTATTAAGGCATCACGTGTTGGGTGAATAAAATAAGGTTGTAAAACAAGTGTTAACAATTTACATAAAGAAATCTAAAATTTTAAAAAGAAAAAGAATTTAAAAAGAAAAGAAAAGAAAAAAAAGAAGAATATACAATGCCAACGCCATTATCTAATTTGGATATTGTGTAGAAGGGAATAAGAAGAAAATAAGCAAGAACCAAATAAAACAAAGTTTTCTTAAGAAGATTAAATTAAGCACTGACAGCTCTCTTCCATGAGGATAATAATTAATTTTGGGAGCTATTCCAGAAGGGCAATGGTTATTAGTTATTAGCTATTTTTTATTGCTTCTAATTTGTTATTTTGTTATTTATTATTTAATATTGTTTTTAGTCTTTGTGGGGCACCGTTCCCTAAACTAAAACACTCTACCCTGGGAACATGTGCCCAATGGTGGGATATGATTGGGGGATAATAAAAGGGGGGGGGTACATTATCAGCCTTGTTGTGGGGGTTTCTGTGTTTAATGAGCCCCTTCGTATTCTGGCTGCTGGGAACCATACACGAGGGAGTTTCATTCATCCACACATCTACCCATCCATCTAACGCCCCATCAAAAAATAAGAACACACAATTGGATGAATAATCCCCGACGAACAATACGAACAAGCATGGGTTCGGCCCACGAAGTCGGTGATAGGGTGGGGGAATCCAGCCAGCCAGCATGCCCTCATCCGACCCATCCACCACCACCACCGCAGAATGAACACAGCGAGGAGGAGTGAGTTCTTATCCGGAACATACCCGGGTCGGTTCGTCCACCTATGCCAGCGAATGATAAGAGGAGCGGGGACCCGGGGGGAGGGGGTATCGACATCGGGATTCGTATTGTGTTCCGTAAGGACACGCTCAACCTCCGCCTCGGAAGTGGGGGGGGGGGGCTGCTACCTGCTATTGCTGGGTCCTCTTTCCTTCCCTTCATCCCTTCGTAGCTTAGGTCATCGCGTCTTTTGCGTCGTTGCTTTGACCAGTCCCAGTTCTAAATACTCAAGGAGACCATCGCTGCAGGCAGCTGCAGGGGGAGAAGAGCGAGAGAGACGAAGAGGGAACGAAAGAGATAGAGAGAAAAGTGAAGAGGGGGAGGAGGAGGGAGGAGGAGGAGGAGGAGGAGGGGGGAGGGGGGGTTCAACTAACAGAGAAGAAGCAGTGGATGCGGGAAGGAAAACACACGGTGTGTATGAGTGTGTGTGGGTTGGAGCACGACAAACATCAGTCAGTCACTGGGTGAGTGAGTGAAGTGAGTGAGCTACAGGTGGGTGGGGCTAATGAGGATGATGATACTCATCATCACGCGCTCTTTTTTTGGGGTGCTTTGGACACTTGGGACGTGAGATTCTCCCCCCTCCCTCATTTTTCTAATTTTGTAGCAGGTAAATTTTGCTCGCATCTGGTGGTGGTAAGGGGATGTCGATGGCTTTGTCTGTTGGTGGTTATTTTTAATTTTAATTTATTTTTTTTTTCTTTTGTGTTTTTTGTTTTTGTGATTGATGATCCCTCTCGTGTGGAGACTCTTTCTTGCAAGTGAGTGAGTGAGTGAGTGAGTGAGTACTGTGGGTGAGAGCTGTGAGTTTTGCGTCACACTCTTGCAGGTGATTGGTTGTCGGATGTTTCTGTCAATCAGGTCTCTCGTCAAGGTGTGGCCGTTTGTTCGTCCGCTTCTTCCCTTATGCGTCGCTGGGTCTAACACATGACGACTTTAGAGGTTGGTCAAGGTTAGGCGTCTCGGGTCCTGGTTTATAGGCGTCTGTTAAAAGATACCTAGTCTCTGGGAGGGGGGATTCAAGTTTGGAGGGATGTCCTCTCTTTCTTTAAAAGGTATTCTTTATGTTAAAGATAGTTGGTCCATTGGTGGTGGTGTTTTTAAGCGGTGGCAGTTGAAGGTTGTGAGTTGGTTGCATGGAATGGATGCTGAGTGAATGGAGCTTGTGGTTTTTGAGAGATGGAAACGGAATGTGAGATTCTGAGCCCAGAAAACAGTGCCGTTGTATCTTGTTCAGGTGTTGCTTGCATGGGTCTGGAGATAGTGCTGCAAGGGTAATTCTGCAGCCGTGGTAGCTCGTTCATAAAATCGTGAGAGCTCTCCTGCGAAGGCTGCACACTTAGAGCGGTTGTATTTGCCCAACTGAGTCACGAGGTGCGAGTTAGGGCAATCGTCGCAATTTATCATCGCAATCCTAGCATGAGCAGTCCGTTGTGAGAGGATAGACACACGGGGGATTTTTGGTGAAGCTTGTTAGGGGTAAGTAGGTAGGTTGTATTTCATGGCAGCTCCTATATCCATGGACCTCAGCGAACCAGGAGAGTTGGGAAAAGTAGGCAAGAGTGGAGGATCGTTAGCAGTTAGCAAATCGTCGAGCAAGATAAAGAAAGGCTTGCGACCGACGTTGGCACAACCCAGACTAGCTCCGCAGGTGTACAAGACAGAACCAAGCGACTTCCGCTCTCTAGTACAACAGCTGACAGGCACTTCCTTGCCTGCGAATCCACCTCCCTCTGGACCCAAGCCTCCCAACTCCAGATTGTCAAGCCTTGCCCCACCGCCATTGAGACCAACCGGCACCTACCCTGCTCTTGTCCAGCCTTCTGCACAACCCTCTGGGCAATTGCAACCAAACCCTGCAGTAGCGATCCACCCACCCTCGTTTCCTTTCGCAAGCTACTCCCCTCTATCAAACCATGGTGCCTCGCCATTCCCTGTGCCATCTCCACTGTCATTTTCTCCGTTACCCAAGCTATCACCAAGTGACCAAGTTTGGGTGAACTCGCTGGAGTCGCCAGGCAGCGCAGTTATCCGACAACTTGCCGAAAAAATTGCGGAGGGTAATGTTCCAGCATCAAAGCCAGATACAAGCGCAACCGCGGCTTCTTCTCTCCCTCCCATGTCGCCCACGTTCTCCAATCTCAGATTCTCCTCTACCTTCGGCCTTCCTAGCCCTACTGGCTTCCCAAGCCCCAACGGGTTCGGCTTCGGTCTCGGGAATGTCTACAGCTCCAGCAGTTGCTTCACACCCTCAGCCGCGTTGGCCATGGACGCCACTTTCAGTTTTCCTGAACCAGACCTAGCCATGTCTCCAGCTAGTACGCCATAGCTTTTGTGAACTCCAACAGTCAACCGATTTCACTCATTGTGAAGCATATGAAGGTATTGAATGATTCCTCCTCCTCACGCCAACCTAGCCGCACAAGTATTACGTTGATAGGTGGATGAGGTACTCTCCTAACTCTACTCAATCTACCTCGCCACTTAAGGGGTTTGGCTAGTCCTTATTTGAAATGGAGTGTACAGTCTATGAGCTTAGTTTCGATCATGCTGAAAGATTCCGGCCACATCACGACTTGACGCTCTTGATGCTTTGGAGGAGGAGGAGGAGGAGGATTATCGATTAATGGAGCTTGTAGCACTGGTTTCGGAGTGTTAAAGGTGTTTGATTGGAAGGTGGGTTACAACTTCCGAGGAGAACGAAGTTGAAGGATCTGCGTCATGTATAAAGAAACCAGTCGAAGACCAAACAGCAGTGTACAAAAATATGCACAACTCTGAGTTTGATTCTTTGATTGACTCTTACAAATTGCGGTCTCTAATGATCCTATACACCCCACAGAAAGATCCCATGTATGTAGACAGTGATCACGTGTGAAATTGCTTTGTGGAGGCCTCGAACTACACCGTCTGTTGTAGAGTTTGCAGACTACAGGAATACACTTTGCTGCCTCAGAATTCCTAAGGATGTTGCTACTGCAGATTCTCCTTCACTTGCTTGGGCGATTTGGTCTCTGTACATGTGAGTTTGAGTGGATTTTTTTGAACTATTTCTTTCAATTGCTATAACGATTAGATTTCTCATAAAATTGAACCCAGTTTCTGTAATTCTCTAAGCTAGAGGTATCCAATTCCAGTCCTTTGAACACTTCGCATGGTTGAATCTCATGAAATGGCTTACCCAAATGTAATAGCAGCCCTGTTTGGAGTCAATCGTATTCGAGAAGTTACTTTAAGCTTACGTCTACACAGACGATTATTGTGGATCTTATGCAGAGTTATTATACATTTGGACCCTTGATTGTAGCTAATTGTATGACTTGGTCAAGCACTGTATTTTGATTTTGTTGCAGATTTGCATGTGAATGTTTCAACGAGTGCTGTTTCACATTTCTGAGCTCTGATTGCACTATTATCAGCGCATTATGTGAAGTCCATGGGGACAGACAATAATTAATTGTTGCTCTCACGTGGATAATAAGTCAGGTACAAATAAAGTTGTCAGATGTATGGCATGTTACATTGTAAAAGAATTGCATTGAGTTTTAATATGGTACTTAACTGCTGGTAGCATATCAAGACCATATATCACTTGAACACACAGTAGATTTTACATGGAAGAATGTGTAGTAGATCCATTGTTTAGAATTGACATACTGGTTGAAAACTGGAAGGAAACTCAGAGATATTATTTTTTATTTTAATTATTTTTCATTGGGTATGGATTTTAGTTTATATCTTCTTTAATTTTGATACACATGTCTATATATATATATACATATATATATTTATTTATATACACATAATCAAATTTCAACAATAATGATCAAAATATTAGTTAAAATAAAATATTGTCTAAAAAAAATCATATCTAAGAAAAACAATTAGCAAAATAATCAATATTAAATCAATAATTTGGTCACTTAAATTCATAAAGCTTATAATGATTGTGCATTTGTTTCATTATTTTCTTGTCAAAGAAAAAACATCTTTTTCAATCATATATTTTTGTTGTTGTAGATTTGAGGTAATTTTTGCTAATAGGTACAACAAATTGCTCAATTAAATTAAATCTCAACAAACACAACTACAAACAATAATAATTTACACAAGAAATACAACTATCAAATAGAATGCATAACTTGTAACAAATGTAACATCTAAAGAAAATACTTATCTATGGCTTTTTGTTTAAAGTAGAGGATTAAAATATCATTTTTATTTATCTTCTTCATCACCATCAAATTCTATTTTAAATCAAAGTATATTTTATATATTTTTAATACAATCTCCATATGATATTTTATGATGATTTTTAGTTTATTTATTATAGTGCTATTTTTTATATAGTTGTCTATCATTTTATATATATTTCAAAAAATATTATCATATTGGTTGGAATTCTGGCTTTATAGATTTAAATAATTAATGTTTCATTGAATAAAACTTATATTGTATAAAGTCATTCTATAGGCTCATTAAAATTTTAATATAACTATTATTTTGATTTCACTAAAATATAAGTTAAGTTGTTATTTACCTTCTTATCATTAAGTAATATATATCATAGCAGACAAATATATGCATAATATTTCTTAGTTATTTATTAAATTCTTTTAAAGTAAAGTTCATAATTGATAGTTTTTATAAACTCTCAAGTTAATGTTGTGTGGTCCGATCTAAATTTGTTATAGATATCTATTGCAAATTTATATGAATCCATAGTAGAAATTAGTGTGGATAAGGCTATTAATTTTTAATTTTATCTATAAGACATGATATTTCTTTATGGAAACTGCTATATAGACACCCCTCTTTTATTGTGTAAATACCTCCTTTTTATTGTGTGGACATCCTTGTGCCACACCAACAATAAACCACTACTACAAGTTAGTTGAAAAACTTGTGAGGGTGGAATGTATAAAAACACATAAAAACAAGCTTTTGGCAATCATTTTTAATCAATTTCAATTCTTTTTAGTGTATGTATTTATATATATATATATATCTTAAGATATAGATTTGATATGCTAAACACAATATTAATTAATATAGACCTTATATCCAAACCACAATCTTAGTATATTATAAAATATTTTCTTGTCATTTTTAATTGTAAAATAAAATGACTAGTACATGTATTCAATTTACAATTTGATTACTTTTTAATTTTACAGAAAAAAATTAAAATTTCATTTTAAGAAATATTTGTAAATAAATTTGACATAAATAAATAAATAAATATGTATGTATACTTTTAATTACAAATTTGGTATCTTCACATCCAAACTTAAAGTTCTATATGATCTAAGTTTCTTTACAATTATTATGTGAGATTAAAAATAAAAATATAAAATACTAAATAGACATTTGAAATTACTATTTAAGATTAAAACTCTAACATAATTAAGATAGACTAAATTAGAATCTAAATAAATATGAATCTTGTCATCTCTTCTTTTGAGTTACAATAACAATTACCTTTTTACTCTTTGTAGGCTTTGCATATCTATTCTAATCTTATGAATATGTGTATATATATATATATATATATATGTAGGAGAATATTAAATAGACTCAGAATTTTACTAAATCAACCCATCCATAATGAAGAATATGTTAACCATGATGAATGTGGTTGGTTTTCATTGGTTGCAGATCTAGTAGCAGAGAAATGAATCTAGAGGTTACTTTTGTTTTTCATGATGGTTAGAATGAGTAAGTCGATTTAGTAAAAGTGTGAGTCTATCTAACAATCCCCTATATCTATATATACACACACACTCACTTGCTTCTATTTTATTTTATTTTATTTTAGTTTTAGTTTTTTGTATATAACTATGTATTTGAATTTTAATACAAATCGTACTTGTAATAGATGTGAAACAAATAGCAATAAATACTTTATTTAGAAATCTGAATGTTAATAGATAAAATCATTTGTTAATGTGCCAATGTTAATGTGCCAAGTAAAAAACTAATTTAATCAACTAAAAATAATATTATACTAAAATATTATATAATCTTAAGCTTTTTGGGGGCTAATGATTCTTTTCATGCTTCTTGAAACAAGGTAGGAATAATTCCTTAGCTTCTACTTTAATACGTTAAAAAAATCATTTGAATTCATTAAATTTAAATATTAATTATTATTTAAAAACAAAGAATGCCATTATCAAAATAAAACACACAATAAATATTTATTTTGATACATATCTCAATACAAAAGATTTAGGAAGTCTTGCTAAGAACACAAAAATACTGTAAGAAAATTCTCTCTCTACATTTTCAAAACTATGGTAACAATAAAAGATTCAAGATGGGTTTGATAAATTTTGGAACTTTATCAAATCAAACAAGAAAAGAAAAAAAAAGAAACAAATAGAGAACAAAAAGAACTTCCTAATAATTGTGCATACCAGTTAACGTTTCCAACTGGTTATGCAATGAAGTGGACATTGTTAGTGCCAATTGTGTATAAATTATCCTTGTTGAAATTGCTTTTCTTGCACTCCATTAACATGGATGACAAACAATGCTTGAATACAATCATAAAAAATTCAATTAATGAAGTGATAACATCATCAAAGGTTAGGCCGAGTGGAGCAGGAGAACCAGTCTATCTATCTATGAAAACCTTGAACGATTTTTCGACCATTCTTTTAAATACTATTCCTGTGATCGTAGAATGCAGAATTGGCTCAGCTTTCAAGCCATTCTTCTACTGACTTGTCTCCTTCGCTTTGCCGTAAGAGGTGCCTCCATCCTGATACAACAAAAGAAGATAAGATCACAAGTTTCCAAAAACATTTTCCCAACATGGAGAAGGAATTACATGCGAGGCCAACGCTCTGCCAATCCAAACCACATCAATTGTCGTTACCTGGGATGACGGCCGTGTTCTCTCGATATAACGGTAACGATCGCCTTCTCTTGCCAATGCCAACCTAGCCTGCAATCCCCGTGCACAAACCATTGTTCAAAATCATATCATTGCAACAGAAATATTTTACCACGCTTTTTCTCTCACCGATAGGTGGTTTGTTATCACTGTTAGAAGACTCCCAGAAGATTCACATTCTGAATCGATGATACCCCTGATATTGAGAGAATCTATTGACTACTCTAACTTTAGATTGAATTTCAGACCCAGGAAGGACACCTACTGGGAAAGAAATAACTCCGATTCTGTTGCACCGTTCTTGACAACAAATTGTGATACGTAAAGAACCCAGATTGCGATACAATCAAAGTGAGAAAATATTCAGCATAAATTATAACACAATGATTCCAGAAATTGCGTTCTGCGACTCTGAGATAATCGAACAGGCCTCAAGCTTTTCCCCTCCTCGATTCTCTGGGACAATCACGAAAATTTCAAGAGGAACGTAGGAAAACAGAATTACAGGAAAAGAAACCAGACCTCCTGCTCTTTTTTCAGGTCCAACTCGGGCTTAACCCACAAAAAGTACGAAGTGGTAATCGCGACACCCCACGCTGCTAAATTCTGATAACCCCTCACTCCGCCCATAAGATTCGTGATGGAGTTTCTGACAGTCCCCAAGAACGTAGTACGCGCCATAGTTGTCGCCCTCAAACTCCACAAAATCGCTCGACAATCTGGTGCCCTTCAATTAACCCTCGCATACATTCCAATCACTTCCAATCTGCTTAACCCAAAATTCTCCCACCAATCAAAAAGAAACTGCCACATCCACACAGAATCACATCAGGACACCGTAATCTCATCTACAGAATCCAAACCCTGCAGTAGCACAACAACCAGGACTCTCAAACCACGCTCAACACAGAGTAATTCAAAACCCTGTCACTCCCACGTCAAAGAACTGCATTCAGAAACAAAAAAAAACCCTAAAACAAACTCAACCTATCGAAGCCACGAGATCCCACTTCCTCACACACACAAACTGCATCAAAGCTGGGGCAGAAACCTGGCAACGAACCGCGTGGGCTCTCGATTCTCACCAATTGTATGAAGCCTTCCCAACTGCTAAGAAGAATCAACAACAGCGGTTTCTGACCTGTTTCAGAATAATAGGAGTAACGAACGAATGATTAGTTATGGATGTGAATCTTATTGGATGAATGAGAGAATCGAAATATTTATTTAAAAAAATCAACCTCTGGCGGGAACTTAGGGAACTCAGAAGGGGAACATGTTGGGGAACTTCGTCTCTCTCGGTTTTTGCTGTGGTTGCGACTGTTGGTCCCTCTCAATTAATTCGACACTTGCCGCTCCATTTACAAATATTAGCCTTCACCTTTCCTTTCGTTTCCTGTCACTTGGATTCTCGCTTTTCGATGCTTCTCTTTTGCGGCTCTCCGTGACTAATGAGATCGTTCTTCACTTTATGGAACGTTTAATGTTAAGTAGGTTCCTTGGCATACTAGTTTACGATATTGAGGAGTGTCGATACTCTCTCTGTGCGTATGGGGCTTGAGAATGGAAGCTCTTCAGCGATGTTGGAGTTTGTGAATTTCGGTGACAATGTGAAGGAGTTTGGCCTTGGGAGGAGCTGGTTCATTCATGCGGAGAGGATTCATGGTGAATGGTGCCGTCGAGAGGATTCGTTGTGGTTGAGGTTGAGGAGGAGGAGTTGAGAGGTAACCTTTGCGCATGAATGACTTGGAAGGTTAGATAATCTTTTGCGCTGTTTGAGTGTTTCAGATCTTGTTTCTTTAGTATCTTGATGGTCACTAGTCGGTATTTGTAATGGTGAGTGACGATTAGGTAATGTCATGTTGATAATTTACTAGTGGAGCTGAAACTTGTGGCTGGGACGGCTTGCGCGATGAGCGCAGATATTGTCTCGGAGTAAGGGGTTGAAAGTTAGCGTTTAGAGCCTCCAGCATCGCCGTTTGAGGGTTGATCGTCGCATCCTTAATCTTGTGTTTGTACGTTACTTTCATGAACCGTGGATCGCGAAGTATCTTGTCAGGTGAAAGATGTGAGGTGGTTTTGAAAAGATTTCTAGTAGAGAGCTTGAGGTTGGAGAATGCTCACATTTACTATTGAATCAGCACCACGTGATGATGCAGTTTAGAATGGAACTGATGTAAGTATGACAACAGCTGAATTTCAGGAAAATGGTTGTACTTGTTCCAATGGGTATACAAGCCTCTTTGAAATCCATAGTGTTTCGAATAATTTCAAAGAATCTGGATAGAAGAAATGGAAGAATAGAAGAAAAATTAGCTCTCCTTCGCGATAAATTTGGACGTGTAAAACAGCTACTATCCAGGAAGATTATCGTTTGCGGCAGGTTATGGATGTGTCATCACTTAAGTTCGCATATGCGCGCTTTGATCATCAATTGTTTGCAAGATCACTGCCACAATTCTACTTGGCTCTCTAAAATGTGGAAAATTCCTACACACTTTCTAATGGACGATTTCTTTACATCACCTCTTTTAAGCTTTATTTTTATTCCACTTTCTCCAACCTCGTCATCTTCTTTCTCTCCTCTTCGTTTTAGCCCACCGTAGTTGATTTAGAGTGGCTATGGATTAGTGTGCAAAATTTCAGGTTACGTTCGTACTTGATCAGGGCTACATTCTGGATACTTTTTGTACATCTTGATGAAGAAAATTTGGGTGCACACTGAGTATACTCTGAAGAATATGACATGTACTTATCTGCAGCTGATCTAGTTATCGTTCGTTTGAAGATTCACTCGTTGCAGAATCCTTGCTTTGTGGAGGTCGATGGAGTATTGTTAATTCTTCAAATTTTATGTGTTTGATGAGGGCTCTGAGACATCTGCAGATTAGTGATAGGGTTACTTATAATGAAGGGGGCCTCATTGAAGTGGTGCTGAACCAGCTGTGAAGAGTGTCTAGTGCACTCCAGCGTCCCCGATCATGGAATCACATGGCGGAGGTATATACGCAGGAGAAGCATGTGAAGGTGAAATGGTTTTCGAATCGTTCCTTGTTCCTGAGATCGTTGCTCTCAGTGAAGAGAATTCTTCTGTCCTGGAAGCTGATCTTGGTAGAGAAAGAAAGTTTGAATTAGCTTGTGGTGAAGTGAAATATTTTCAACCCGATGTAGTGAGCCCTAAGCATAGTACTCAAGCTCTAGACAACACTGTGAGGTCGGAGTCAGTCTCTTCAAAGTGTTGCAATTGTGCTGAGTTTTACGAAAAGATGAATGAAAAGTGGAGTTGGCCAGAGGAACATCACTCAGGACAAGCGCAAAGCACTGTCAGGTCTGTGAATTCCTTCCAAAGTACAACAGACCAGCTGAGAGTGATGTGTGTGCAAAACCTAAGATCCAGCGCTCCAGTCACTACTATGGTTGACAGTTTATATCTCGAAAATGACCGGAACATTTGTACCCAGGACTTTGCTGATAGTCTAAATGGTTTGTCGCTTTTTGAAATGGGAGAGCAGTCGAAAAAAGGCGTTGTTTCTGACTATCTTTTAGCATCTTCCGACTCTAATGACTCTAATACTCCGGCTGATGATTTTCAACGAAGTCCCTTAGTGTCATTCACAAAGGAAAGCATTCCAAGGGAGGGGTTCTCCGACGATTTGGAACTTATGGAAGAAGGTTCAAAGCTGTTGCTAGAGGATGCAAGTTCGAAACAGAACTTGCAGCACACATTGAAGGGCGAGTCTTGTACAAATTCACGCTTATCGAAGTCCCAAGGTGTATCTAGTAGTCAACTGGGCTCTTTGGCGGATGATGAGAGAGATCTTGTATGTGATGTCGAGGAGCAACGATATAGTCTTATAAGCGCGGCAACATGTGGGACGGATCTTCCCAGATTCAAGGGGGGTGATTTTGAAATGGAAGAACTTGAAACTATGCAGGCTGAATCAAACACTGACGTAATTATTGATTCAACATGTACTGCACCCTGTATGGATCTTCTGAAAGATGTTCAGGAGGTTGAATCCCCAGATCTCGACAAAGAATTTCAGGTATTCGATTCCTCACATGGTGAAAGTGAGCAAGGAGTTATCTTCTCTATAGGACAACAAACAGACTGTCCTGGTTCTGTTGTGGTACAGCCAGATGTGCGAGAGGCTGTTGTAGTGGCTGTGCAAATCTCAACTGAGGAGAATCTTACTAAAAATGGAGAGGAGAACCGTCTTGCGATCCCATCAGAAGCAACTCTTGCTGTTGGGATAGCAGAAGCTTTTTATGAAACGAAAACAGCTTCCGATCTCGCACTTCTGACGATGGGTGAATTAGGGTTCTGCTTGCCTCCCGGAGTAGCTACTTTGCAAAGTGCTGAAGCGAAGAATGCAGAGGAAGCTCGAAAACCAATCATCAGTCTTGATAGAAAAACTCCGGAGCTGACCTCCAGATCTACCGCATTCTCGTTCGAAAACCAACTAATTGAGCTCTGCAATTTAGGTTAGTCATCCTGCCAACAATAGTGGAGTTTTGGGAATGCTGGATCAAGAAGAATATGATACGTTAAGAATCTATGTTGTGTTGACTATGTTTATTTGTGAGAATTGTCTTAATAATCAACAATAGCACTCATAGGTGCGTTCTGATCAAAAGCTGATTGCGATTGGCATTGTCCTATTATTCAAGCTCCGATGCAACCATTTCGTCATTTGCCTCGCAGACTTATACTAGACTTGATTGAATATGTTAAATATCATGGTTCAGGCCTCGGAGGTCCTATGCAAGCAGCATCTGAAGACAATGCATCTATTCAGGTACTCGATAGTCAAAATCCTGGCTCAGATGGAGGTGTCTCAGTTGCAGAATCACTTAAGGTTAACAACTGTGCTTTTAAAGAGGAACTCGAAGAGTCCAGTTCCATTAATATGGCTTTTGTACCTGTTACCCTAGAAGGTTCTTGTGAAGATTATAGACCAGGCAATAATGGCGAAGCGAAGGGTGATTATTTACACTAACTTTTGCTGTTGCTGGAATCCTGATTTCATGAAATTTTCAGTTCTATCATCTTTGGTGCTTGGTAAGGTTGATTGTTAAGTTTTAGAGTCGCTGAGCTTATTTTCGTTCCCCTGATAGTCTTATACCAATGTCCCTTTCAAAGATCGACATAGTTGAGCATAGCTGATAAGCAGGCCAATAGGTAACAAGCCAATACATCCTGCTACATATCACACAAGTATTCATAATCCTCATATGGTAATGTGCAGCTGGAAAAGGCCAGGAAAAGATTCAGCAACACCTGTGGTGCTACTTATTTGAGAATATGATTAGGGCCATTGATGAACTCTACTGTCTTTGTGATCTCGAGTCAGATGCTGAAAAAATAAAGGAAGCTCTACTAGTTTTGGATGACGCAGGTATTGATTTTGAACACTTAAAAGCAAGAGTTGATGGCTTTGATAGAGTTAACAAAGGTTCTCGCTCATCCCGAACAGCATCTGCCAAGATTATCAACAGTTTCTTATCAACTAAAAAAGATTTACTACAGAGACGCCCTCACTCTACAGCTTGGGAGGTAAGGTACACCCTGTCGATACCCAGTAAATGACTGCACAAGCCGCTGCAACTGTTGTTTGCTATCGGGATTTTGGTTCCTTCTCTTACATATATCGCACCGTGTAGTTTCATCCAGATCTGATGTTGAACAGCTTGAATTACACGGAAACTGCCAGTCCTGTAGAATAATTGCTTACAGATTTCTCCCACAGGTACGCCGCATGGCCTGCTCTCAAGAGCAAGCTGGTATGCCCACCCCTTCATTGGAAGATTTCAAGAGGGTAAATGGGACTTCACAGTCCCATAGCCTTCAAGGTAGGAGAAGGGATACCTCACAGGCTCTCTCTCCAGAATCGAAGCAAGTTGCACTCTGATTATGTCAAGTTAAAGGAGTCGGTTGCAGTTTCCAGAGACATGTCAGTTCCAAACATAGACAAGATCCTTGTGATAGCAAAAGAACCTGACGTTAGTTTCAAAAAAACTTGATTGAGGTCACTGCTAATCGTATAGAGATGCCCTGCGAAAGTAGAATGATATCACCAATTGTTGACACATTCCTCAAAAGTCAGAGAGGGTGGTTTTACTAGAGAACTTCCAGCTGAATGTAGAGATGTTTTATCTAAAGCAACTGATATCCAAGTTTTTCAGAATGATCATTTAGTAAGCCTTCGAATACAGGACCCCGAAATCATGCAGATGCGCGACAACCAGATTCCTCTGAGAGCTTGCCGTTTCAAGGTCCGGCATGTGTGGCGACCACCACCTCACCGCGACAAGAGGGGTGTCGGGAGAAGGAATCTACTATTTGTGACTCCGAGCTTTTCACAGGCAGAAGTTTCGACTTGGCCTGCAAGAGATCAGCGCCCAGTTTATCTTTAGTTGATAGATACACGAGCCCTACAGCTTTCAGTGTGCATCGTGCTTGCTCCAAGAAGAGGCAGATAAGTGCTCCGACTGGCTCCGTGACAGGTATTGAAGTATGGAAGAAAAAGAGAAACTGGCAGGATACACTCTCACCTCCTCGCACCCGTTCATCACGAGCATCAAGGTCCTCAAGACCTGATCGTAAGAGCAAGGAGCGAGTGCGCGTGCTTCATGGCAAGCTTGCATCACCCAAAGGTAGAAAGGGAAGTTCTAAAGAAACGAAGGACGTGGACGGGGAGCAAGCATGTGCGCATTGCATACAAATGGCGTTAGAGAATGAGGAAGTGCAACGTCTTTCAAATACGCAAGAGAAACCGAGTAGAGCGAGTGCGTGGCAGGCAGCAAGGAGTCTAGACCTTCGGAGAGGCATGCATTCTCAGCAGGAACGTGGGGATTCTCGAGCTCAAGCTGGTGTTGCTCAAATCGCGAGAAGAGCATGGAATAAAAGTAGTAAAGTCAGAGAGTTTCGTCCAATAGACTCTTTAAATGAAGAGAAAGAGAAGCTAGATCTGCAAGAGAAGCTTCAAGGTTCAGAAAGTCAAGGGGCTGAAAGGCTACATAGTTTGAGATTGAAACGAAAAGAAGACATTGCGAAGGAGGAAGATGTGCAAGAAAGGAGGCGCCAGCTTGATGCAGAAAGATCACAACTACTGACTGTAGTGCGACGGAAGAAAGAAGAGGTTAAAACAAGACAAGAGGAAGAAAGCAAAATTTCTGATGCCACTCTGGAGGCTCGAGCCACATACCAGATCCGAAAGAAGGATGCATGGATAATTTCTCAACAAGAAGAAGCTGAATTTCTTGAGCAAAAGCTTTCAGATAGGCTCCTGGAGAGTTCACTGCGGCGGAAAATTTATCTGGAGAAGATCAAGGAACGTGCTTTGATGGACTTTGAGAAACAAGACAAGCTTAGTAAGGACATACTAAATGAACTTGTAGGGATGCGGGATCAAAGTTTGTCGTTTGGTGGGCTAGCTTCAAGGAGACAAAAGGTCCCTCCTAATGAAATATGCAATAATGAAGCTCACAAGGATGGGCCAATGAGGGGAAGTCATGAAGGTGTAGCTTTGGTCAGTTTGGTCGGAAATCACAAAGGCACTTGGGTGCAGACCACTAAAAATAAATCGAAACTAATTCGGCAACGGCTGATAAGTAGAAAGACTGAATATTGTGAACCTCCTGCTGGAATCGAAGGTCGTGGGCTTGGTACTGCGACTGTCATAGGTGGGTGATCTTAATTTATGGGTACATGTGTAAGTGCTGAGGCGTGTAATATGTGTCTAAAATGCGCAGGTTATGACATGCCTAAGAAAAGATCTGTGATAGATCCTTGGTTAATGCCGTTCTTGAGCATTTTGTCGTTTTGGTTTCCTTGTGCAGAACTGCTCAAAACATCGTCATCGTTGGTAGTGGGTGCTGTTAGTGTTTGCAATAGTTAGTTTACCTTGTCGGCTGGATGTGAATCTAATTCCTAGCAGTTTTTATTTATTTATTTATTTATTTTATGGATACGAGCTGTTTGCTTCTCGATTCAGATCGTAGTCTCAGTTGTTTGAATTGAAACAAATACACATATACTGTGCTGTGGTAGTAGGTGGGGCTCGCTCTCAAATAAGAAAATGGATGCAAGAGCTGAAACGTCTGCAGGAAATTAAAAAACCTGGAAGTTTGACATCTAGCCTCTTGGTAATTTCCGAAATAGAAAAAGTAAGTCTCCTTCCATGTGGATGCAGTTCCTAAAATCAATTGTTCTAATTCTCTTGTTAAGGCAAGAATATATTTATAGCATCTACTTTGTCGGATATGTTAGAATTATGCTTTGCAACAGATACTTGTGCATAACTAAGAATTTTTTTTCTTCAATGTGAAGTACTTGGAGGAAAGGGAACCCATGCTTCATGCTGCTCGCCAGCAAGGCCTCATTGATTACATCGCTACAGCACTGCCAGCGTCGCACTCTTCCAGACATGAACCCTCGGCGTTCACTGTGGCCTTGCTCCGACTTCTGATGGTAGTTCTCTTTCTTCCCGCGAATCGGAGTTACTTCATAGCCCGCAATTTGTTGCCTCCTCTCATTCCCATGTTGTCTATGGCACTGAGAGCCTTTAGCTCGAGTGGCTCCGTGAACAACCGCGGAGTATTGTCACATAAAATTTCTGTTGTGTCGAAAGAACGATCTGCCTCGCCTTCTGAGGGTCAAGGTACTGTTATGTTCGTGAAAGAGAAAAAAAGACTCAAGCAGAAAAATTGACGACCATGCGAGAAGTACTGGAGGGATTACTATCGGTTACTTCATCGATCATAGGTCATACATGCATTGATGACCACCTTTTTCAAATGCAAGAAGACCTTGCAGAACTGGTCGTGGCTTGCGAGGTTCTTCGCAATCTACAGATCCTCTTTGCTCTCTATGATCGTCTGCGAATGGAAGTAGCTGCAATTCCTGGTCCTATCATTCTAGGTCTGAGGTTGCTGGAAGCTTTGACGGGACCAGGAGGTAAAATGCTATCAACTGCTCATGAGACGCCAGTCAACATCGTGGGTCGCCCCCTGCAGCCAACACCAGAATTAAAGAGCATTCAGGAGAATCTAGGCTCGCAGAAGCTGGTTGATGTTAAAAAGGCATGCTCCAATGGGAGTTCTGCAGGAATTAGAGCTTCTGGATCACCCGATGACAAGACCGGAAAGTTTGAGGCGAAGGCAAGTAATAAAAATAGTAGACCTAATTTGGGCGCAGTAGTCCAACTAGAATTTCATATAGATGGAAAGAATCAGCAAACCATGAGTAGTTCAAGGAAGCTCCTGCTTAAAGAAATCGTGGAGACAGGATTGGTAGGTCTGCCTTCGCTGTTGACAGATATACTTCTCCAGGCCAACCAGCGAGTTACAACAGATCAGGTAACGTTGCGGTTGCTATGTTTAGGGTAAAATACTCCCTCATTCTACTCCTCATAAGTAGGAGCTATCCTTCATTCCTTTTAAGAACACGAGATTCCACGTTTTTCGTCCATCTTTGGAGCCCTCGAACACAATCTAATTGCTCTGGTGAAATTGCAATGTTGTTAGGTTGGATCTATTCTCCAATCCAACTTCGGCGAGGTGGCCATCAGTGTCTTGCGGGTGATAAACAACGCTGCCAGGCTTAACCTTTTTCTCGTGCAAAATGTACTGGTATATATGATACTAAAAACAATGGCATCCCTGTCGCGCAGCTTATAAATTAGTAGTTTGTGATCTAACTTAGTTTTCATATACTCCTCTTGTAGCCACTCTTGGAAAATAATTTTTTTGGGTAAATAGGTGACAATCGAATTATTATTGAAATTTAAGATTCCAATAGTCTCTTCCCTGCAGGCTTTTTCGGATATTCGGATGGAGTTTTTTTTATCTTATCAATTTCCTCCTATCTCATTGTACTTGCAAGTGGAAGAGCAGTTCAGATCAGGTAATGGGTCTGATGATATATCCAATATTTTTCAAGTGCGTGTAATATTTGTTGTGAAATGCGAAGGATTGAATTTGTTCTTGGAATGCAGAACTAAATACTTATCCTGCCAACCAACGATGACTTAATGGTGGGCTTGTTTACTGACCTGCAGCATCTACATTTGCCAGCATTTTGGAGCCTATTTACTCCTAACGGGTTAGCTTGCATACAGATTGGTGCATTGCTGATGGAAACATTACTACTCCTTGGTTGTGCGGCACTCCTGCATCCAGGCAATCAAGTTGTTCTCCGATGGGGCAAAAGTCCTACAATCCTTAATCAGGTTATTGTGAAAGTAGCTCTCTTTGATTCTATGTTTTTTCACATGTTGTGGTCACTGTTACTTCGTCAATACCCACTATTCAACATATCTTCTCTCATCCTGCACTCTGGGCAGAGACGGAAGTGCATAGATGTTACGTTACAAAAATTTAGTTTAAATAGGTAGGGCTGCCTGATATCACTTCGAAAATGCTGTTGCGTCCTTGAAGGGTAACAGCTTCTTATAATGCCCTGGCTAGTAAGATGTGCACAGATCTGCGATCTCCCGTTTGCGTTTTTCAGTGACCCAAAGCTGACACCAATTTTGATTGGGACACTATTGTCCGTCTGCTTTGGCAATGAGCGCAACCGCGATATTGTGGAGCAACAGTTAAGCTCGGAAATGCTACTGGCCTTTCTGAAAAACTCAACCCTGGACCCAACCCCAGCCCCTCCCACATCTAATACGAAATCCGAAGGGGATGGTGATTCAGTCGAACTGAAGCCAAAATTTGTTATGTTTGATTCGGAATCGTTTACCATCACCGCACGTGATGGGGGTCTTCTCAAGCACCCGTCTGATACGTTTTTTCCGTCTCTGAAGAAACCAATCCAATTGTCAGCAAAAAGCTCATTAAACTTGAACATGACTCTGGTCTCTCCGGACGGCGGATCACTGCCGAAGCACTTCAGAAGTGCAACTTCCACCTTCAGGAGCATGAGCGATCGGGTTGCCTCACCAAGCCAGCGACAACATGTAACAAAGAGGGCAAAGGGTGTAAATTCATCCTATCCATCCCTATCCACCAAACCCTCAAATCTTACCGTGACACAGACTGTCCCTTCTGCAGTAACGTTTCGAACCCCAGAGACGAGGGTGGTGTCGTCTCCATCCCCTGCATTGCCGTCGCTGCAGAACAGGTTTCCAGTGGTCCTGTGGCCACATGCAAAAGAGTTCTTCTCAACAAGCGCATAGATGGGAAGGACTTTGAAGAGCCTGTGAAGAGCGGCGGCGAGGAAATCTCGAGATGTGGGTCAAGTGCAAGGATGCAGATCTCGACTGCAGGTGGTGCTCGTCGTGCAGGTCTGTCTGCGACACCATCCCCAACATCCACATTGTGCTTCACCAGATATAGGAACTTCGATCCAGTACCCTCACGAAGGCTCCGCTGGTTTCTCGGCAAGCTTCGGATGTGGTGCGAGATGGCCATGAGTAGCACGGTGAGCGCCACTCCCACACTTTGCGCGTTAGTGAAGAAACCATTGCCAGGGATTCCCTCATTTTTACGTAGCACAAAATGCCCATTACCTTGGCAGGAGACAACTCAAGTGATCTTTGTAGTCACTGATAAACGATTTCTTTCAAAATATACAGGAATGGATTTCACGTGGGAGACAAAGGATAGTCAAATAATGAACAGATAAATAAGGGATATATGCCTGTCCTTAGGTTGGTCGAAATTTTATTCTTACTATTATTTTGTCAAGTTCTCAGAAGATGTTTTTGAAATAAGGGAGCATTAGGTGGAAGTTGAAGGAGATGTCTTAAGTGTGGAAGATGTCTCCAAAGTGTGAAATTAAGTGAATATAGTTCTAGAGATAGAATTTGTGTAACATTGTTGAATTTGAGAGGATTTTTTTTCTTTTTTTTTTTTTTTTTTTTTTAGCATCAAGGAGATTAACCTCTTGAGCTATAGGTTTCCATCAGGCATGAAGGAGATGTTTACTATAAGGGATCAAATCCGTAACCATTGCATTTGCTTTGGGTACCTAATGTTGTCATCTGGTAGTTTGGGGTCAGCTCAAATCTCGTTAGAGAGGCTTTTCAAGCTAATACATGGTTCTTAGTTATAACCTAGATATTCTTGTGAAGCAAGTGTAATTTAAAAAATAATCAAATCTATTAATCATTTGGATTAAATAATTGTTTATTGAACAAACAACTAAAAACAAACCACATCCAAAGTCCAAGAAATAAAATATTTTATTCTATTTTTTTCTTCTTTTATTGTATATTAAAATTTGGAAACTCTTTAATAGACACCCTACTTTTTATTTTGTGGAAGTCTATCTTTTATTGTATAGACACTTCTTGTGTCATACCAATAGTATATTATTATTACAAGTTTTTGAATAAGTTGGACATTAAAGAAGTTGAAAGATATAAAAACAACAATCTAAAATGCGCCGACAGCATCACCAACCTGGGAATAGTAAGGAATGAATTTCCAGAATTACATCCTTTATTTTCAACAGCATATGACCTGTCACCAACGGGCTCGCATTTTGAAATGCTACTTCCAAAGAAACTCTTCGCGAGGGCATATTACACATTAACAATGCTAGTCACATGTGACTACCGTTGTTAGGTAAGCAGTATATTCGTGTCAAGCGTGGCCCGAACTGCTGACCAGCACACTAAGAAATATTCGTCAGCAGTACTGCTTGTAATGCAGGATTGACGTTCAACACTGTGTCTACAAGTGAGCTAAAACCACATGAAACTAGTTCGGACTACGAACTACGGAGACCGGATGTGTTTGGTCAGAACCAACTCACATCAGAACACAAATATGCTAGACGAATCGCGACATGACTCAACTTCACAGAACAAATCAGATCAACTGCTCAGCTCGATTTGGAAGTAGCACGTGGAATACGGAGCTTCTTATTGAACAAGGAGATAACCAGCTTCGTACATTTTTTTTTCCTACAAAAATTCACATCACTTGACCATTTCTGGTTTGCTGGCCAGGGTGGAAACCCCGAAGTGATCGAAAATACAATATTCCAGAGTGCTTCACCAACCTCCCTTCCCATGTACCCAGGGATTCCTCATTCCGTAGACTTATACATCTAGATATTAACATCTAGATATTAATCTTTATTATCGTAGATTTTTGGAATCTTCTTGGGAGGTGATTCGGGCGTGTGCTTCCCCTCCTCCAGGATGGATGATAATTTATATGATAAGATGAATGATAAGGTGGATATGGCTGCTGACGTGGACCAGGTTGGCAGAGATGAGGTGCGATGACACGTGTATGTTCGCTGGTCTTCGAATTTGGCGGGAACTGGTGATCTGGAACTAGTTTGGAAAATGGTTCCGTTCACACTTGCCAATTGTGATGGTCCGGACCTTGGGGGACCCTGCTCAAGGAATGGGGCGTTATTTAAAAGTGAGACAATGTGTGGATAGAATCTTAAAACCTCAGTTTTGAAACGAACCTATAATTGGGTACAACAGGATGAAAATAATAGTAATAATAATAAATCAATATTTAGAAAAAAATTAACATGCGTCTTTAAAATATTTAATAAAATGATGGATGGATTGAATAAACCATTAATCTTTTCGAAATTCTACTTAGAAAATTTATCAAACTTATCTTAAATGTTATGATTTATTTTTTATGCAAGTACATATATAGTTATATATATATGAAATGAAGACAGTGATATTTTTTTATTTGTGTACATATATTTAAAAGACAAGACATCTATTCATGCAACTTTTTAATGATTGTTTGAGAGTGACATTTGTATAAATCTTTTCAAAGCTCAATCTAACTATTTGAATAATGAGATACAATGTTTTTACAAACACATGAAGTAGGGTGCTTAGAGGGAAATTGGAATCTACAAGTTATAAATCATAGTAAGTCATATTATAACAATAGTAGCAAGGACAACCTTCTTACAACATTTGTGGGTATCATATTTATGTAATAAAGATGGATGATAGCATTAACATTACTATTATTTAAAAAAAAAAAAAAATGTATAGAATAGACTATCTACTTACTTTAACACATGTTGCTAAAAATACATGTTACTCATGGCATTTTAAGTGATTCTTAATAGTCTTAAGTGAATCAGCTCTTGAATAATCTACACAAAGCGGATTTTATTATTATTAATATATTTTTTTACTAAATTATATTTTAAGATTTTAAAAAATGTATGTCTAACCTATCTAAAAAAATATTAAGAAATAAAATAAATGTAATGCAAAGAAATGATTATTTGAAAAATCAAAGGGCTGTTGTTAAAAAGCAATAAATAACAAAATAAAAAAATAAAATTAGTCCTTTATGACATCTTCTCATAAGCATTCAAAAATTACTCAATGGTAGTGCTGACAACAATGAATCATGTATTAATTACATTGGGGTATATAATTTAATTTTTAAGAGCAAGGTGATAATGACTTTTAGAAAACAAGAAAAAAAATATTTATATTTTTTGTGTGCAATGGATCGTCTATCATTATATGGAAAGTTTGTTGCATATTGGAATTATATTTTTTGTATTTAATTCTATTTGTTTTCATGATACAACATTTGAAAGTCAATTAAATTTTCGTTGCTAATTGTTTTTGGAAACACAAACATATGATAAACTTAAATACAACGTATACAGCTGATATTATGTTCATTTAATTTCTATACCACTTGTAGAATGATGAAGAATATTGTAAATCTATTTGGGATTTTAGTTCTTTGAATTACTACGAACGCCACATCACATCTACCAAAGCATCAAATGAATGTTACAAAAAAAAATTATTTCCAAAAATGACACTGACAAACTTTACTACAATATCAAGATTACCAAATGGTTAATTGGGGACAAAAGCACCTGATAATTTTTTCATTCATGAATAATCATCTAAATTATGTCATACACCATCTTAGAATCTTCAACATCTAAAATTGAGGAGATGTTTAATTCACATCATTTCCAAGGGCAATAATCTAAAAAATTAATTGTTTAAACACTTACTGTTTTTGTTGGAAAGAATTCTAAATGCGGTATGAGTTTTCTAAAAAACTGTTTTGTAAAGACAAATGCTACTTCTTTGACAATTCCCAATCTTCAAAAAGATTGAATAAAACGGATAATCCTGCCCACACCAGAATTGCAAGCACCCAAACATGACCACTAAATGGAGACTGGTGAATGTTTTTAGGGGTCGCAGGTTTGGATATCGTCTTCTGATGATTCCAAGCTTTAGCGTATGCTTTGGCAAATTCCCTGTTTCAAACAAAAAAACACCTTCATTCATAAATGACCTTCACAAAAAACAATGAAAAATTGCAAATATTGCAATTCAACTAAAACGTGGTATTGAACTTCCATAAAATTTTATAAAATACTGTGAACTATTCAGTTGATGAATGCTCAAAGAACGAAGTGGCATGGATAGAAAATGGAATGTAATGCATGTCATTTCCACTTACCAACTCGCTACATGTTCTCACAAGTATTCATAACATTTCCATATCTATGTTTGAACTCAAAAGGCATCAAATGAGATTCAATTTCTGCGAAGGATGCACAACGAAGGTGCTAAACAATTCTACAAAGCATCATTATGCTGAAACGACAACCATGCACAACGAAGTTTTTTTGAAATGCTCACCGTCTGGAGCAGTAAACCAAGGAGGCTGGAATGATCAACATAACAGCACATCCAGCAAATGCACCAGTGAAACCCACTAGCTCATCCACTGACACTTCTGCATGCTGGAAGTAGACGGAGACTAATGAGCTCATCAGTGTTAAGGAACAGACATGGGAACAAAAGGTTAATTTTGAGATACATGGACTCCACGTACCATTTCTTCAAGTAAAAAAACAATAAGATTTGAACTTCTTGACTGCAAAAAATGTGGAATTTCAAAATAAGAATGTCCAAACATGCACAAACAAGGTGAACCAAAAATCCAAAATGGTCCAGCCAGTGAAATAAAAAAGTGCAACAACTTACCTCAGCAATATAACAAAGTACAGTGGGTGGAATAACAGCAAGTAAAGTCATCAAAATCCGACGATATCCAGTTTTGGATTGAGAAGTTGAAACTATTGTGTCTGAAGGTGCGTTTCCATGCGTCACTGTTCGCACAATGTCACATGCATTATTTTTCAACCATGTCTTCTAATAAATAAATCACATCTTAATTGAAACTCCACAATACTGCCTCAATAAACTGCAGACTAGTCTCAGTGTGGTTTACCTCTTACCTTTTTGTGAAATGTGTTGAATCAAAGTATCAAGGTTGTTGCGCAAAGTTATCGATAGCATGGGAAAACTTGACGACAAAGTGAACACTACTCAACAACACAAGAGTAAAATGTTAAAATTGGGCAAAATGGATGGATTTAAAACTTAGCACAAATGATTGCAGGCAACTAGCATAATAGAACTTAAGGTATACTCTATTTCAAAATATAGGCCGTTCATACAAAAGCAACTCACAATGCCCGCATCTACAAAATTGGTTCGTACCAGGAAAGAGGAAAAGACAATCGCCAAGAAAACCATATTCTGTGGTCATTATGTTAAAGATTTTCAAGATTATTACTTAAAAAAAAAACTGCGGTAGTTGTCATGATGGAACTCAAAACAGGAAAAAGAATCTCAAATAAGCAGACTCTTAATAATTGTAAAGGATACGTTTTGGGGGAAAATTGAAGGTCAAGGGATCCTTGATACCTTCAAGGCCTGCAGATTTCAAAGCATAAGAATGGTATTGTAAGATCTGCAAGAGTTCACTTGGGAATTTGCTAAATCACTTTGCAATATGAATAGCATATGCCTAAATAAAAATAGAGTATGTACTCCAACAAGCGAAGGTCGACAGCTACGTACCAAAAGCAAGGCCGCTGGTAACAAAGAGCAATAAATACACCACAATGACGCTTCCAAATGCAAATTGTACAATGCGCTGTAGGTTTGACTTATCTTTCATAGGTGTGATTATGCCAGGTAAACTTTATACATCAAAAAAGATAACGTTTTGTCAAGATACTTAATTGAAATGATTCACCTACAGGTACAGTTCGAGGATGACATGCAATGCATTATTAAAGCATTATGAAGATTCAAAAGATGAAAGAAAGGCTACACCAACAAAAGCTTGGAAATTGAAGTAAGATAATGTAAAACCTGTGATGACACATAAATGAATAGACAGCCCCTCCAAACAAGTTAGGCAGTGCTCTGCAACACAAACTTAGAATAAAAAAAAAGGCTAATGTGTGCCATAAAATCTCAATTTCTAAAAGCCATAATAACAGGTAAGTCTCTTGATAATTTAAAGCAGATATATCAGCGAATAATGCAAAGACAAGAGAGTTTACATACGCAATATTAGCAACTGGAACATCAGTATCTTGACGACCTCTCTTCACTAGCTTCATTGCTGACAACACAATCATCCTGCATGTAGCACAATCTATTTGGATCAAAAAACCACCATACTCACGTATGAATAATTGAAACAGTTATAAATAAGGCTCATGTTGAAGGTTCAAGAAACACTCCCATACGTGTAAAGCGATAAGTTCCGAATAGCCTACAAAACACACAAACGCACCAAGCATTAACCAAGTTTTGATTGCAAAACAACAAAATCTTCGAAATTGAGGCCAACATGTGCTAATATTGAATAAATGGACTAGAAACTAAAGAACTTCAAGTCTTAGGCAAGTGAATTCGTTGCTACAACACATTGGAGATGATGAAAATAGAAAACAACAAAAACTGTTGGCAAATAGTTAGGCAAGGAAATACCAAAGTAGTCATTTGCAAGAGCTTTGTTTTTTGAAAATCAAAAAAGCTGCAATATACCAGAAGTAATATTAATGCACAATTCAAGGAAAGGATGCAATATGTGTGCACTCAAAGAAAGTCGATCAATATAAAAATAATAATGATAATAATGCCGAGAGGCATATTATTCAGAGAGAATTTTACGTAAAACACATACTAGAGTGTTGGAAAATTACCAGAGGGGTAAGCTGACACAAAAGAAAATGCCCAAATATAGGTCAAATGACCGTTCCGTTGGAGTGAAGTCATCAAAAAATACAGACAAAGACCTTGCAACCAACGTGCTATAAATAACAGAATCTCCTATGAGGTACAACTGCACAATCCATCCACACCACAAATCTCTGTCAACCTAAGCAAAAAACTTAAATACAAGGTAAGATAACTAGTTCGTTTCGACTTGTTGGACAATGTAAAGAACTACAATAAGGTTGTCAAAAAAAAATCAAAAGCACAATCTAAATGATTACTATACCATTTCAGTAACAAACTGAAAGTGATTATAAAAAGATTATCAAACGTGGAATTAGATAGCCACTACCATACTAATTTAAGATAGTCTTAGTTATCAATACAAATGGTTTAGATACTTCACGTATAAAGGTTCAAGAAACTGATCATGTGACTCAAGTGCCCCAAAAAATGGTTTTTAGGAGCACCATACAATCAATATGGTGTAGAAGATGATCATGCCCCACTCGTTGAAAAACAAACCCTGCAGCCAAGCCAGTTTTTACATCAAAATAATTTTGATTGACACAAAATCCAAGTATTAGCACTGTCATATTGGAAATGCAAGTTGGTACTCTTGTCGACCACAAAAGGACATTGTAAGGACAAGCAAGCCAGTAGAAATGAATCCATCCAGTTCCTAAACATGAATTTAGCATGAAAAGGAATCATCTTTGTATCTAAAATCATATAATGGAATAATGTGATGCCTTGGACCATGTAGAAGACCTCACCAACGGCAAAGTTGAAACAATTTTTGTTTCCACATGCCAAAGACCAACAGTGTACCTCATCTAACATGATTATAGATATTTATCTACAACATTGTCACATCACAGGGATTGTCAAGGGCAGCTATTTTACCGCCATTTCTCCAAGCTCCGTCCTCCTTATAATCTGGAATAAATGTGTGTCGCTCGCAGTAGGATGAAGTTGTGACATATCCTCAAGAGAACCGTCTCCTTTCAAAGTTCCTGACTCTTCAGATAAAAGAACAAATTCTTCAAGTCCACCCTGAAACGACAACAAAACTTTCATCAAAGCATTAGCCACTACAGAAATTAAGGCCATACCAACAAAATTCAAACTTAGATGCTCTAATATCTTCAAGCAATTCACTAAATTGATTTATTCTCCTGCAAGATGAATTTTCTGAAATGGGCTTTTGTGGAGAGAAAGAAAGCTTAAGCATACCTTGCTTCTAAGTCGTATAACAGCATTGGCTGTGGCCATAGCTTCAAGCATAAATGTCACACTTACATAGCTACATAACATAATGCCATAGTGTTTTGAGTACAAGCTTTAATTTTCATGACTAGACACTATTCTATACCAAAGAACTTAAGCTTCTAGTTTATTTGTATCAATTTTTAACGAATCACATTGATGCAATAAATTGCAATCCGCCAAAGCAATTCAATTATTGGATGACACAATCTAAATAATTTGTATGCAATGATTGATAATAAGAAAAAAGAAATAAGAAATAAGAAAAAAAGAAAAAAGTTTGTAACTGTACCTCAAAAATGCAACTATTACAATGAAGAATCCACCCAAGAACTGCAGACTCAAGTCACAGTTACATGAGGACGCAAATACATTGCCATTACCCTTTGATCGAAGTTAACGAGATCACAGATTTTTTTCTAGAAGGAGTCTACAACTCGTTATATTAACGTTGGTAGCAAAATACTTTGAAAAAACCAGAAAATTTGAGAAACACCTCATAATCGATACTGGAGCTAATTAACCAACGTTAAACAACATTAAGCAGAAATTCAGATTATAAATAGATTGCTTACCCATCCTCCTTTCAAGAGCACAGACGGTAGTGCCAAACATCCCGTTCCAACCATCAAATTGAAGAGATAGCTGCAAGTATGTCACCATTTAGGGTAAGAGTTGAGAACCGAATCACCCACTTCATTTAAAACTACACTCATTCTTTGGTGAGTCCTTGTATACACGTTTACTGCGAAAATTGCCGTCTTCCACTTATTCAATATAATACCAAGGGAATTGATGCAAGGATAGTAAGATTTCAGACAATAGGGTTTGAGATTGAGATGGTGTCGGAAGGACGCACATGAATGCAACAAAAGGAGAGTATTGAGATCCATGAACATCGTCCATTTTCGTCATGTTTTTGCCTCTTTCCCTTAATTCAAGCCAGGATTGAGTGCCACTCCACTTATGATGTTATCCCAATTGTGTCCTGCTTACATTCATGGTAAAAACGTCTTTCGTAACGCCTGTGACGGCACCCCCGTGGCATAAGAACAGGAAGCCGTCACCGATCAAGGCTGATCCCCAGCCACTCTAATCCGCCAAAGGAGTACTATCCTGTGTGAGTATACTACCACCTTGACAATTGAATCTGCATGGAAGCTGGTATTGGATCCCACAAAACCTTGTCCACGTTCAAACAGCTACAGAAAATCTTAGGCTTCGCATAATAGCGACAAATCATGGAAGTATTGGTATCATCTTAAGTACGCGACACCCGCCTGAGATTCAAAGCACCAAAGTAATTCAAAATGCAACCAAAAATAAATTTAAAAAAATAAAAAATAACACGGAGGGGCAAATGAATGTCTAAATCCCAACATTCGCGTGCAATGTGCTTCAACAGAAGCGGCAGCCCACAATGTGCGTTTCCAGCGAGACGCTGAACTCCTACCCACACTCTCGATCAAAATTTTTAGAAAGCTAGAAAGACCCAACAAAGTAATCATCGAGACAGGAGGAAGGGCATACACAAGAAACACAGAATCCGAAGACGGGATTCCGCTCACAGCTGCATGTAGATGCTTCAGTAGCCCACACTGCAAACCGGGTTACAATCGAAGACCCTGCTCACGAACTCGATCTCTCCCCACAACACACAACACGTAGAAAGGAAGCGAATCTGGTGTGGAGGAAAAAACTCACGAACATGGGCCCGCGATTCCTCGAGATCGGAAGCCATAATGCGGTCAGTCGAGGTGCGAGAAACAGCAGCAATGAGGAGGAGGGGGGGATGACTTCACTGTTACGAGCTCCTCCGTGGCGCACACTCACAGCTTGTGCGACGCTGCAATAAAAGGGCTTTACTTTGCTTTGCTTTTGCTTTGGTTTGCTTCACCTGAATATTGTCCTCTTCCTCGTCCCTCAACTTCGCATTATCATCGCAATTGTGGGCATCATCATCGTCTTCGTCTTCGTCTTCGAAAGCCCTGCGTTCCCTCCTTCCTGGCAATTACGAGGCTTCTCCTTCTTCGAAACTTCCTTGCCTCATCCAAATCACTCTCTTTCGTGGAAATTGTGGTTCCTGGAGGTAATTTCAAGAGACTTTTAATAATTTTAATTTTGAAAGGTAATTAAAACCTTTTTATAATCATGAAATATTTATTTAAAATCAAAAAAACCTTGTCAATATTTTTATTAATTTTTCCAACCACTACTTCTATCAAAACAATTATAGTTATTTATTTTTGAAGATTTTATTACAAATCTTTTAATCTCCAGTGCTTATGGCTCTATATTTGTAATAGTAGATTATTTCTTTTAGTTGGCACATTTTTTGCTATGCACAAAAACTTTTATAAGTAAAAAAACAACTAGAGTTCTTTTTGATAATATTTATTACTATTATGGATTTTCAAGGAATATTATATCAAATAAAAGAACTTATAATTTGTTTAAATTTTAAATAACTATTTTAAAATATTGAAGGTAGACATATATCTTTATCGTTTTAATTTTAAACTAATAGTTAAACAAAACAAGTAAATCAAATATTGGAATAATACTTAAGATATACCATCAATTATCATCTAATGTCACATATATATATATATATTCACCTAGATAAGAAGTACTAGGTAGAAAGTAAATATAGGTAAATTTGATATTATCTTGTAGCATAGCTTCTTAGAAGCTTTATAGATTGTATTTGAAATTATACATATTTATAGTTGATTGGTATATTAGGAACACGGCCAATAGTTAGCCATGTGTTACATGTGTAGGTAGCTTGTAGTACAAGCTAACAATGTGGTGCACATATAAGTAACTTGCCTTATAAGTTAAGACATATGTCTTATAAATTGAACATGTATTGGAGGTCATATAGGATGTTGTCATGTAGCTCCTAGTTGATAATGTATATGGGAATAAGAGTGAAGAATTTTTTACTCTTGTCAATGCCTTTTTAGTCTTTAATCTTGTTTTAAGACTTTCTAGTCTTCCTGTCATTGGCAATAGCTATTTTAGTTTAATATTAAACTATCTTTGAGTGATTCTCCAATCTTTTTGAGTGACATAAGAGTGTATAGATCTTTTGGTTCTTTGAAATTCATGTCCTTGATATCTAAATGATTTGAAAATTATTTTGCCATTTGCAAAGTTTATTTATAATAATATGGTATATCTTTCTATTTAATAATAATTTTTTATATTAATTGTGATTATCATCTATGATTTGATACTTTTGACTTCTCAAAAGCTAATAATCTTACTGTAGAAGATTTGAGAAATTATCTATTAGAGCTACATGCAACATAAAGACATAATTAAATGAAGTTGAAGAATAATAAAATACCAATTCAAATATCTATTGGAATAAAAAATCTCAATTCTATCTTGGCGACAAGATATGATAATTTAATTGTAATTTTAAGACTATTTTCTTTTATGAAAAGTTTGATTATTATAAATATAGATCATTTTTTATTTACAAATAAATCAATCGAATTACATATTAATTATACTTATTGGAATCTATAAATATCTATCTTGTATTCCATGTATCTCTTTTTAATCCATACAAGACATTGAATATCTTAGAAAGAAGACAAATGCCACCTTCTTTTATTGAAATAGACCACAATAATGAATTTAAAGCAAAAGATGTTTTAGATTCAAAGCAATGCTAAAATAAATTAAAGTATTTTATATATTATCACAAATATGATATTAATGAATGTACATTAGAGCCATCCATAAATCTAGCAAATATAATAAAGAAAGATAGTTCTTTTCATTGACAACATCCATCAAAATTAAGATATAGAAATAATAATTATTATTATTATTATTTGCTATAAAATAAAATAAATTTAATAAAGATTACATTCTATCTTTTATTAATAATAGTAATAATAATAATAATAAATTTTATATATTTGTGATGATAAGGAGATAAAAAATCATCAACAAATGCATTCAACTCAAGAACTATCATTAACTAAGTTATTTAATAAAGCATTGAGATTATTATAGCTTTTAAGATATTGTAATAATTTTTTTTAAAAAAAATAATATATTCTTCTTTGAATAGATGGCAAAATACAATGCATTTGGCATCACAACATTAAAAAAGAATCTTACTATTTGGTAATATTATTGAATGTATAAATTACTCTTAATAGTATTTTAAATATTTTATTTGAAGGAAGTTATGAAGGTTTCAACAATAATCAAATAATAAGGTTATTTTCTTGCCTTAATATAAGACACTAGTAATAGTTGTAAGGACCTATTAACTAGCTTTGAAAAGAATAAAGTTCAAAGTATGTAGCTAATACAATTTGATGTATCTTGGACTTTTTTAACATGTAATTAGGGCTCCTCATAGAACTTCTTTGTTGAAGATAAAATAATGTAATAAACATTAATAATTGTATTTGTAATTATGAGGATAAAAAAATCATATAAAAATAAAAGTAAGTAAATTTCATACTATCTTATAAAAAAAAATCTTACAAGCTTTGTATTCATTAATTTGATTTTATAAATATTTGTAGGTAATTGGTAGGTTGAAAATTTAGCAAGAGTAAGACCTTTATTATATTTAGTATATTGTATTGTAATATATGCCTCTATATTGACTTATTCATTGATATGACTGAGACCTTTATTGTATTTTTGTGTTATCTCAAGAATCTCTAGTCTCTTTGTATTTGATAATAGATATTTTAGTTTTGTAACACATATAATTGTTCTTGATTTTATAAATAAGGATTTGGTTGTTTATGAATTATAACATTATTTTGTTAAAAATATTCTTAAAATCATTGTGAAAAAAAATTAAGATTATGAAAAATTTAATCTATTTAAGAGATATAATTTCTTGACTACAATAGATTTTAAATCATTAGATTAACAAAAGATCTAGTGCCATTAAATTTTATTAGACTATTATGACTATGTATTGATATATCTATATGAATGTTTTATAAATAATGATATTAAAGAACAAAGATCAATCATCTATAACTTCTACATATAATTTTTTGTTTTGTTTCATTAATGATATTTCATGTGCATCAATAAAAATATTTAAATATTAAATAATTATTTTTATAAGATATTTATTAACATAAATATTAAATTTAATGATTTTTTATTTTGATTATTAATATGTATTGTAAATTAGTTCATACAATGGTTGGACTTTTTTTTGAAGATCAATTTTATAATCATAATAATAATCTTTATTTTAAAATTTTAAGTTTATATAATATGATTTTAAATAATTATATTGCTTAAAAATGACATTAGATGTTTTTTTTTATAAAATAATTAAATGTGACATAAATATTAAAAATGAATACACACACACACACACACATATATATATATATATATATATATATATTATTAAGATTTTCATATGTAAATTTATTTTAAAAACTAAAAATTATATATTTTTAAGCATTAAAGAAAATTATTGAATTAAAATTTTATTTATTTATATTATTAATCAAGAGCAAATTGAAGACTGTAAGATATCTAATCTTATATTTTGCAAAGCCCAATTCACAGTCTGGCTGATAAAATAAGAAAAGAAATGTAAAAAAATAAGACTGCGCATGGCCTTGGTTTGCTTGTGAAACGGTGTTGCCCTGATTCCTAATCACCCATTTTCATTGTGTTATGCACTAATCACATAATATTAGTGTAATGTTGTGCAGATCATGAATGGATCCGGGCGCAACCAGTGGATGCAAATTTACAATCCACATATTCAAGAGTGTTTTGTTGGATGCGGTGGTTGTTGGTGGAGGATTTGACCTAATAGATCCTGATGAGGACTGCATCACCAGTTGTTGTTGTTGTTGTTGTTGTTGTTATTTTTTCATTTTATTTTATTTTATTTTTTGTGTGAGGATCATGGCAAGCGTGTGTGCGTGTGTGCGGGCGCGCGCTTTGTTTTGGAACTGATCTGGATTTTGGGCCCTCACTGAATCTGGGCATGGTTTCGGGGGAGCTTTGTCGTTGCGCTTGTGCACGTAAGTGTGCACCAGCTTCGCGTGCAAACCCGCTGCAATTGTGTCCCGGGAGTTGCAGGGAGAAGGGCTCCGTCGTGCATGATTGAGCCTCGGACAGATGCTTGGAGGTTCGTGTGTGTGTCTCTTTCTCTCTCTCTCTCTCTCGTGCTCCAGGCTCGCAGTGGCACCGATTATGGCTGCTTCTCATTGACACTGTGTGTCAGTAAATAGTATCGGGTTGTAGCTGGGTTTTGTTGGAGGGATGTCAAAGAATTACAAGTTCTGTATTCTCTTTCTGTCGACCCACGCTGCGCTATCGCCGCCATGGTTCTTGTTTCACTCTCCCTGACGCTGCTTTTGTTTGTGAACGAAACCCATTTTGCTTAAACCTTTGATTCCGGATTGGTTGTCGGTCGCAAGCCACGTCTGCTGTTCAGGGGTCTGGTTTGAAGATTTGCCGAAGCTTTGCTTGTTCTTTGGACACTGGAACTCATGGAAAGCGGATATGTGCGATCTTGCCAACTTTATTGGGGTTGGTTCTGACGCGGGCTTTGTATTAAGGGTAGGTGTGCACGTTGAAAGCCGAATGAAAAGGACTGCGTGCTGGCATGTGGGGCCAGTTCTTTACGCCACTCTGGCTCTGCACAGTCCTGTTACTTCCGCCAGATCAGGAATGCATTTCTACGGGATCCGTCCATTGCTTTCCAAAAATTCCATCCCCTCCAGTCCACGCATCCCTTGCTTCATTAAGTGCATTAATACTACTTTTAGGAAAACTGGAGAGAATCTGATTCCACAAGTTAAGCTCTTTTACATTTTCCATTTGAAAGTTTTCATGGTGAGAATCACGATGGGTGTCGCAGAGTACCGCTTCATCTGATTGTGTTGCATTTGTGTTCAAGGAGACCAAAACAGAATAGTTTAGGGGTACCTTGCCTTCGTTCAATAATTTCTCGTCTTTGGCTTTCCAATTGGCTTATGTTAAGTTTCCATTTTCTTCTTCACTCGGTCGGTGGGGTGGCCAGAGGTTAGCGAGACTTTCCGATTTTTGTATCTGTTTACCTTTGCGTAGAATTCTAGGCGTTCCAAGCATCTTTCAGATATTGCGTGTGTAACTGTGCAGTTCTCGCTTTTCGTTTGACTCGCTCGAATTCTGTGATTTTGAGATGGATTGTGAAGTCACGGATTTTTCGCCGGAATAGATTTTTGCATTTTCTTCTTGGATCAGATGCTTGTGCTCTTTGGTTGGAGTTAAGCAATTGTGATTGTTTTCTGACGCTTGTTTTCGTCGAGAATTCAGAAATCTGACGCGTATGAGCTTATTCGAGCGGGGATCCTTTCGTCTTCTCAAAGTCTGGTGAAGAAATTGGCAATGGCGCGAAAGAAAGAAGTTGAAGGATACCTGGTACGCCGCCACGGCCACGGAACCCACTACGCCAGCGACTCCACAAGCACTGGCCATAACGAAGTTCCAGACTCCGACTTGAAGGTGCCGGACATTACAGTTCCAAAGCTTCACGGCAAATTTGACGCCTCCGCTGGCGCCGTCAGCTTGGAAGATGGCTTCATGTCCCTTGAAGTTCCTCGCTGGCAAGACCAGCTCACCATGAGGGGTCTCATGGTAGCGTTTTTCTTGGGGTTCCTGTTTTGCATCATCACACACAAGCTCAACCTGACGGTAGGAATCATACCCTCGCTGAACATTTCGGCAGGATTGTTGGGTTTCTTCTTCATCAGAATGTGGACCGCAATATCGTCGAAGTGTGGATTCTTCACCAAACCTTTCACTCGCCAAGAGAACACCGTAATTCAAACTTGCGTTGTCTCATGCTACGGGATTGCTTTCAGTGGTACGAACACTTGCTATTGCAAACATAGATAAAACACCTACCGTTCTTTGCTTCTTTGTTTATTTACGTGTTTTAAATGTTAGATCTTCATCTTAAACCTATTTTATCTAATTTCATCTTAATTTTCTGAAAGTGCAAAATATAACTGCTTGGTTGATTACGTTGAATGTGATATGATTGCAGGCGGATTTGGCTCTTATTTGCTTGGAATGGATCAGGCGACGCATGACAAGATCTCTGCGGCTGGGGCTGGAGATATTCCGGGCAATGAGGATGTGAAGAACCCAGGTCTTGGTTGGATGACTGCGTTCGTGTTTGTTGTCAGTTTCGTTGGAATTTTCTCCATTGTCATCCTTCGGAAGGTACCGCCTTATCAATCAACATTTAAGTCTTGCGTGTACTCTTTTATTTGTTTTTGGTAATTTATCTCATTGTGTAGTAGTTTGCTGAAAGAGATTGAAGATTTGTTGGCAGAATTTCGCTTTGTCAGAGAAGTTTTGCTTGTGAAATTGGTTGAGTCACCGTTGCCTTACTCCTCTTGTCTGCTTTCATGTCGGTCCAGATTATGATCATTGATTACAGACTTACATACCCAAGTGGTACTGCAACGGGTATTCTAATTAACAGCTTCCACACCCCAGGAGGTGTAGAGATTGCTAAGTAGGTTCCTTAACCATTCTCTTGGTTAGAAAGCTGTTTCTCCGATTATTGATGTAGTTCATGGTTGAGAGTTACCTCCTGAACAGGCGTTTATAGTGCATTCTGGTTGGAAGCATTTGTACAAGAGTATAGATAATAAACTTTTACTTATGGAATGTTTGTGGAAGCACAGGACGCAAGTTACGTGTCTAGGCAAGTATTTTACTTTGAGCTTTGTCTTCTCAGCCTTCAAGTGGTTCTTTAGCGGCATTGGTGACAGCTGTGGATTCGACCAATTTCCAACCTTAGGTTTGAAGGCTTATCACAACATGTGCGCAATCTTATCTCTACTTTCTTTTCCTTATCATAAGTCTTACTGAAAAAGCAGATAAAATTAATTACACAGAGTTAGCCTCCCCACAATACCAAGCGGGGAATGGTTGAAATTTCTACGTACAATTCACTCATGCCTCATCTCTTGACCCAAATTTTCAGGATGTACTTCGACTTCAGCATGACCTACATCGGAGCAGGCATCATATGCCCCCATATCGTGAACGTCTCCGTCCTTCTTGGCGCAATCCTTTCATGGTGCCTGTTGTGGCCACTGATCGCAAGTTATGAAGGTATTTGGTACCCTGCTGGTCTTGGATCCAGCAACTTCAAAGGTCTCTACGGCTACAAGGTCTTCATTGCCATTGCCGTCATTCTGGGTGATGGACTATACAATTTTATTGTAATCTTGTACAAATCCGGCAAAGAGTTACACGCCCACTATGCTTCTCATAATCAACTCCCAGTTTCTAATGCTGGTGCGCACCCTACCCTACCTTGTAAATTTACACTAATCTCCTCGTCTGATTGATTTCTTTACTCGCATTGATAATCATGCCCATCTATGAACTCCGTCTTTTGAATTCTCGCAGAGATTCTGGACCCCATCGACAGAGACCACGCCCGTCGAAGCGAAATCTTCATGAAAGAAGGGATCCCGCCCTGGGTGGCTTTCACAGGTTACGTAATTCTAGCTTCTGTATCAGTGATCGTCATCCCCCATATTTTCAATCCTGTGAAGTGGTATTTCGTCCTCATCTGCTACATCTTTGCCCCCATCTTGGCCTTCTGCAACGCGTATGGGTGCGGCCTCACGGACTGGAGCTTGGCCTCCACTTATGGTAAACTGGCGCTATTCATCTTCGGCGCCTGGGCTGGCACCAATGGTGGAGTATTGGTGGGTCTCGCAGTGTGCGGTGTGATGATGTCGATTGTTTCTACTGCCTCGGATTTGATCCAGGACTTCAAGACTGGATACCTGACCCTGTCCTCGCCGCGGTCAATGTTTGTCAGTCAACTGATCGGATGTGCCATGGGGTGTGTCTTGGCGCCTCTAACCTTCTGGCTCTTCTGGACTGCTTTCCCTATTGGTGATCCCGACGGCCTCTACAAGGCCCCATATGCCATTGTATATAGGTCAGTTTTCCTCTTTATTTTCCTGCTGCTTCTGTTATTCTTCCTCGTGTTCTATTTTTCTTGTTTTGAAGTGTTATTTATATTGGAACTTTTTTTTGTTTTTGCTTGCTTGTAATTACATTGATATTATTATAGCCAATCCTAGATGAATATGGGTTTGTTTCCATCTACTCCTTTCGTGAGTGCGCACAAATTGCAGATAAGAATTTTTGGTGAGGCTTGTCTTTTGCGACCTGATCCATGCTCACGAATGAGTGTTTAATTCCTAGAAATTCTACGCTTTCTATCACACGTTTGACTGTCATTTTTTACATTCCATAAACTTCCTGTAAACGACGTTCACTTTTATCCTTTTTGTACCGGTACAGGTCGATGGCGTTGATAGGTGTGGAAGGCTTCAGTGCTCTCCCAGGCCACTGCCTAGAGATATGTTATGTCATGTTTGCTGCGGCGGTTGTGATCAACATCCTTCGCGACACTCTTCCGAAAAGGATCTCTAAGTGGATCCCCATTCCTATGGCCATGGCCATTCCTTTCTACATTGGTGGCTACTTCGCCATCGACATGTTTGTCGGCTCCATCATTCGATTCGTATATGAGAAGATAGACAAGCCAAAGTCGGACATTATGACCCCTGCCATTGCAGCTGGACTTATTTGTGGAGACGGTGTGTGGACCATCCCGTCGGCTATTCTTGCTTTGAGCAAGATCAACCCTCCCCTCTGTATGTATTTTTATAAGGCTACTGATCCTCTGGCTGCAGTGGCCTATTAGGTTATAATAGATGATCTATGCAGCCCTAGTTCAACAGGCAGAATTATTAGTTTTAGGACATTCACAAATTCATGATAACAGGAGATCAATTTTGATGCCTGTAAATATCAATAGCAGCATCTGCAGTCACATGTGTAGAAAGAAGGATGCTTAACAAGCTACGTGGACATGTGCTTTGTTGCGTTGTATGGCAACGACTCAACATGCTCATGCTTAAATTTGGTTTCCTGTTCTTTGGAAAAAAAATTCAGCAAGTTCGAACCTGAGTACTGGATTTGCTTGAAATGTGGTGAGCACAATATCAGTGGGTTGGAAGATGGTAACTGCTGTACAGCATATCATATGCTCACGTGCCTAAGATGATATTTATTTGAACCACTTATCATTGATTGTTTGTTAATTGAAAATTTGGATGTCAAATTTATATGTTGGACATGGTTTCAATTTGTTTTTTCAATTTATGTTACGGCTACATTTGCCGAGTAGGTTTTAAAAAAAAAAACAGTTTGGTAAACTAAGACCAAGAAATGAGAGCACCAACCTGGGGTGAAGACTCAAATGGTCACCATTTATCAACCAACCCAACACCCTCGTAGCTACTAGATGTCTTGGTCATGAACGGCTTTGTGCTCTCGGGGATTACAGAAGGGTTGATCGGCCTTCATTCTGGAAGGGTCCGAGCATCGACTCCTCTATTGCTTCCAGCTTGATTCCAACGCATTCTTCACTTTCACTGACGTCCATCAATCTCGGCTCGTCTTTCATTGTTAGCACTTCCGAGTTCGCATTCCCCGTCGCGCAGCCAAGCCTCATTATAATGGTGAAGCAAAGCCGCAGGATGCAGCAAGGGAGCAATTTCCTTTGCAAACATGATGGGGTCTACATAACTGCACAGTAGAAATGGACACATCTGAATTACCCACCTTGTTCGGAAGTAGCCAGGTTTTCATGGGGATTTTGCAAGGATGGAGAGGCCCCGTCAGAGAGACCCAGCTGTCAAGGACAGCCATCAGCAACCATCTTTGGAGTTGGAAGCCCAAACTCATCACCTCAAAATAAGTCTCCTCCATCTAGAATTGCCAAACCTTTTTCTTGTTCGGCAACTAAAATTATCATCGACGGGAAAGGATCCCTGCAAACTCAGGCAACATCTGGCAAGGACCGTAGCAAGGAGTACCGTCGCGTTGCACTTGAAACAGCACTAATTCTTTCTGAAACACCTAGTGCTCTTCACTATTCCAAGTCGACCCTCATCTACGTTGCAGCTCTGCATTCTCAACTCTCAAACCAACAAAGCTAGCTAAAAAGCCACCGACACAAACTCTTGTGATGTACAAATCGAACTATGCGGATAATCCATCAATAATCGACGTTCCAAAACAGGCTTTGTTGGAATCGATCACATTCCCCAGGGGTGATTTTCCTTGGGTGTACAAAAAATCTTCACCTAAATAGTCTGACAAGTTCTATTATTGGTGAACAGCAGTTATTATGGGACCTTTGAATTCGGAGTTGGACCAGGCGTGTCAGTTTCTGAGAGGATGGCAGAGTGCTCCCAGTGCAGACCGGGTCCAGTTGCATGTTCTTCGCCTTGCACAGAGATATCGAAACTAAGACCATTTTCTCCTCAATTCGCCCATCGGACCATGAGTTTTGAGTTCAATCACTTTCAGCTCTATAGCGACAAGCCACAGTTGACTTGCGTTGTCGTTGATTTCCAGGGATCTGATGAAGGATCGTTAGTTTACGGTTAAGTTTTTAGCTTTGGATTGTGTCTCTGGTGGGGCTCAGCATTGTTTGGCTGGTCGCTTTGGTGTGTGTTCTGCGAGGTACAAGAGGACGCGGTGGATACTGTGGGCACCTCATCTTCTAGCTTTGAGTATGATTGTACTTCAGGTTGTGAAGGATTTTGGGTAATTTGAGCACATAGTGAAGTGTATTTTCTTGCTCCCGGATACTTTAATCTATGCTATTCAGTCGCATCGTAGTATTCGGTATCTGTCGAACGTGACAGATGAGCAGCAATGGGACTGTTAACAATGGATAGAGTTCATGTGCGTGAGGGATGCAGAAAACCTTGAATTGTAGGTTGGTAACTTCTTCCTGTTCTGGGATATAACTTTTTTCTAAATTCAGGTCGTTCTCAGCGTCAAGCATTCGTGTGACTTCACAGTCAAGCACAGTTAGTGTACCTAGAGTCGATGTCTCCGATTGGGGGAAGCATAAGCAGGACCCCATTAATACCTTATAATTAATAACAGTGTGAATTGAAAACCGATCTGTGAAGTGTTAAATAAAACGTTACGCCCTTACGTTGAGTCCCTTTGTCACGTCGTGTTTGTTCACCTTAAAAAGAGCGTTGGCAAAATTTCTATACGTCAGCTACCATGCGACAGACAGCAACCTTATTCTCGGGTAGGATACTAATAATGTGTGATTGCCTGTTCAGTCTGGAGGAAAAAAACAAGGAAGACAGGAGGCGGACAATTGGTTTGTCAAGATGGCAGGGTTAGGGATGTGGGAGTTAGGTTTAACAGGCTTGAAGGTCACATCTATCGGCTATGGTAGCTCACCTCTGGGTAATGCCTATGGATATGTAGCTGAAGAGGATGCCATCGCCTCTGTACACGAAGCTGCACGCTTGGGCATCAAATACTTCGACGTCGCTCCGTAGCTTCTCTCATCCCTTTTCCGCTTCTCAGTTTCCCGATCCAATGTGAATTTCATTGTCCATCATGCAAGAATGACTAGAAGGCGGCTTTCTGAACGCATAGCTTACAGAAACACTACACTGCGGTCCTGGTCATCTCAGGTCTTATGGCGACACACTGGCAGAGACGGTGCTCGGAAAAGCTCTCAAGACGATGCCTATACCTCGTGAAAGCTACGTTGTCTCAACAAAGTGCGGCAGATATGGTGGTGGTGCTACGACCGAAATCAGTTTCGATTTCAGTGCAGAGCGGGTGACGCGTAGCGTGGATGAGAGCTTGGCACGCCTCAAACTTGACTACTTGGATATCATCTTTTGCCATGACATCGAATTCGCTTCCCTTGATCAGATTCTGAACGAGACCATTCCTGCTCTGCAAGCTGTCAAGGAGTCCGGGAAAGTTCGTCATATTGGGATCAGTGGGCTACCTTTAAAGATTTTCAGGCGGGTGCACTTAAAACTCCAGGCTATTGGATGAAATCATTGATTTTGTTTCAAAGCTAGATACTCCAAATTTCTTAGGTGGCGCGACGTTGTTTTCATGCAGATATGTTTTAGATCGAGCTCCTGAAGGAGCTGTGGAAGTAGTCCTGTCCTACGCCCATCACAGCCTCAACGACACATCTCTGCTTGAGCTTTTACCATACTTGAAATCCAAGGGCGTGGGATTGATCAACGCCTCTCCATTGTCTCTCGGCCTTCTCACCGAAAAAGGAACCCCACATTGGCATCCTGCTCCTCTAGAGATCAAGGTTGTTTGCACGTCAACCGCTTATACATTCCATCTTGCAGACATCCACAACTCATAGTACACGGCGATAGGATTCACACCGAATGCTTTGCATAACTTGACCTATAGAGAAAGTCGTAACCACTCTTCATTTCCATGGTTGTGCTTGTGCAGACTATCTGCGCACAGGCAGCGAAGGCATGTAAGGAACAGGGCAAGAGCATCGCAAAACTAGCAGTGCAGTACGCATTAAGGAACCGTAACCTCATCACCACTCTGATCGGCATGCCTTCGGTAGCTGAGGTGAGCCCCACAATCCCCATGTGCAGAAATTCAGTAAATCTAGACGAAGATCCTCAACAGAACGGAAATCCATGAGTCTCCGATGAGAAGAATGCTGATTCCAGTAGTGGGAACTGAACCTTGAAAATGCTTCCTTGATGGACAGGTGCGAGAGAATGTGAGGATAGCCATTGAGGCGGAGCATGGAACGTTAGACATCGACGAAGAGCTGCTGCAGCAAGTGGAGCAGATACTTCAGCCAGTGAAGAACAAGACTTGGCCCAGTGGCTTACTAGAAAACAATTAGGCATAAGACGCAATGCTGTGGCAGCACAATGGCCTTAAGGTCAAGGTCATTGTCCAGTCATGCTAGGAATGGTTAACATTGAATTGCCAGGGAGGTTAAAGTATTTTCAGTTATTTTGTTGAGGTTAAGTTTTGCTTCAAATTTTTAGTTCTTTTCAAAATTTGTAGCATTAGAAAAACTTGGTTTTTTGATAAAGTTTTATATGAATTTTATCAATAATGAGCTTACGTGGTAAGATCTCACATAAGAGTGTGAATAAACCTAAGATTATAGTTTGTTTCAGTCTTGTTGATTCTTTTCTACAATATTGTTTATTCCAGGTTTTTATTTTTAATTTTATTATTATTATGTTTTGATGTGATTATCTAAATGTTTCTATTAAGGGGATTTAGACTTGAGGTATTTGCAAAACTAAATAATTGGGGATTCAATAGTGATATTTTTAGAATCATATTGAAATATCAAATCCAAAATATCACCATTCAAACTTTATTACCATCTTTAAGATTTTTTAAGTATCACTTGATATTTTGGTGATATATCAAATGATATCAAGTTGACCAAATATGTAGACTTAACATTCTACATCCATCTTACTCATTCTTTTGTACTATTCATTATGCCTTTGAAGAAGTTCCTAAGCCCTGTAGATAATGGTAAAGGAGGTCATTATCGAAGACCAAGGTGGAAGAAGTTTTCAAAAAATATTTTTTTTGAAAGGATTCCAACTTAAGGCAACTCAAGGCAACTCAAGGAGACTTTATAGAAAGAAAACTTAAGAAGCTTGTATGTGGTAGATACAAGACTCTAAGAAACCAGGCCTAAATAGTTGGCCTTTTTTAAATGGATTTTTCATTAGATGATTGTAAGGCACTCCCATATGATAGAAAAGGGTACTAAGGCTAGGTAGATCTTAGTTAAGAAGCTCAACAACCATGGCAAAGTCTAGATAGAGATGCAAGTCCTCATAATTCATACAAAGAAATATAAACTTTTAAATCAAAGAATTGAGAGAATTTACAAAGTTGAAGGTAGAAAAGAAGTTATATAAGAAATGCAAGAAAGTAGTAGCATCCCATCTCAAAAAATATTAAAGAAAACCTCAACTTCTAAAAAGAGAAGAAATAAAATTGAAGTTAGGTAGAAAAGAGCCTTTAAGCTATCTAGGAAAGAAAGAATGTAGTGTAAGACATCCTTTAGAAATAAATTTTTAGAAAATCTAACTTCTTAAGAAAAATGTCATATTATGTATCAATAAGGACATTTATTCTCCAAAGTAGAGGAAAGTGTGAGAGTTAAAAATTTTGAACTTTTCACTTACTTACTTTAAAATTCCATAAAAAAGAAGAAGATAAAATTTGTAAATTAAGACACATCCTATGGCCATTGAAGGAGTGGCAATAAAGAGGCTGAGAAGACCATCTTCTTCACCTCAAGGTTCAAGTCATTCAAACCTAGAGATGAGTCTTGAGTGCCTTTAAAGAAGGTCTTGCAATCCTTCTTCCTTAGTGTATAAAAATATTGTTTAGGCTTCAATTAAAATTCAGAAGTCATCCTCCAAATGATTAAAATCTTGGGCAATGATTTCTAAGTAGTAGTGGCATGAAGTCACATTGTGATGCAAAGTTGCGGTGCAACTCTAAGGATGTAATGTATCCTAATATGCCATGACTTTCAAATCATAATGCAACACAAGTCTAGATCATAGTGTGATTGTGTCCTGCCTTGAATCTTATAGGATTTAGCACCAAGAGAGACTCCAAAGGAATATATTTAAAGATGTTTTTAATTAAAAGTAACTCTTTTTGTAGATATTTTCAAAAGTAAAAAAAACCTAGCTTGAAAGAGTGTTATATATGGTATTAGAGCCCTTGAAATCAAAATTGGGAGTAAAGACTTGAAAGAAAATTTTCAATAAAGATTTTCGCTAATGCAAGAAGAATTAGTCAAGATAGTGAGAAAAATTACAAGAATAATTTCTTAACAATTGGAAGATAAGATCCTTGAGAAAAATATATAAGAAGTATAAGTAGGTCAAGAAATAATAAAATCGAGGAGGAGATTTGTTTAAAAAAAGTCCTTACTTGAAAAAGTGCACTATCTTACTTTAAAAATAGATAATGAAGTGGAGGTTCAAGAAGAACAAGAATAATAAGTTGAAAACTTACAAAAAGATCAAGATCCTCAAAGTGAGGACAAAATAAGTAAAAGTGAGGGTAGAAATCTGAAATCACAAAAAAAAATTAATTCTAGAACCTCTAAAGATTCTATAAAAGGATTAAGAATGAAAAAATTATATATTATTCTTTATAATGAAGTTGAAAATATTATTAAGAGGTTAATAGAAAAAAGAAACAAAGAATTTAAAAGGAAGATGGAAGTGAATTAACTTCTAAAAGATTCTTTGATGGAAAAAAATATAAGAAAAGAATCTTTATTTGAAGATTAAAATAACAAGTCAAATTTTCATAGAGCCAAAATAGATCAATATAAAAAGAACACAAAGCATAAGAGAATCACAAGAAGATTCTTTAAAGAAGTGAAGCATTGGCATTTGGTCAATGACATTGAAAGTGATATAGACAAGATTAGGACCTTGTTGATATTACTTGAAGGAAGTAATTTGAATTGATTTGATGGGAAAATCAAGACAAATCCAAATTATGCCAAAGAAACTAATTAGATTGAAGTATATAATGGTTTCATTGAAAAATTTGAGAATAAGTAGCAAAACTTCATAGAAGGATTGCAACTTCTTAAGTTAAGGCAAGAAGGAGGAAAAACCTCATTCTTCAAGTATCTTAGAGGATTTCAAAACCAACTTACTTATATTCAATTAGACCATGAGAAATGTCTTTTATTTTTTATTTGTAATGGATTGAATGTAGAAATAAGAAAGATGTATTGAGAGAGAGAAACCATTTCAATCAACATCAATGATACTTTTATATTGACTTCTCAACTAAAATTGAAAGAACAAGGAGTTGGTCATAATGAATAAAGTACTATAATCAAGACTTAGAAAAGAAAAAATAACTCCCGAGAGAAGGCCAAGCCCTTCTATAGTAGTAAGAACTCTCCATTTTCAAAAAAAAGGTTTTAAGAGAATAGTTTTCAATCTTCTAAATCCAAGACTAAATAGAAGTAAGGAAGCAATAACAAAAAGAAAAAAATAAGTTCAATAAATGTGACTTATTTTAAGTATCAACAAAAAAAACACTATATCAATGGTTGCAAAAATAAATAAGTGTCTAGAAAAGCAAATAAATATTTTGGAACTCCTCTTTTAGTTAAGATTCAAAAGGTGAAACAACTTCAAATCATGAATCTTAGCAAAAGTGTCTTAGCAAGAGAAGGAGGTTTTGAAGAAAAACTTATCTTAATAAGTTTGCATAAAAAACTCATCTTAATAAGTTTGCATAAAAAACTCATCTATTTAAGTTTTAAGATTGAAGGTACTAAAGTTTCCATGATGGTTGATACATAAGCAACCAACTCATTCATGAGTCCAACTTGCTCCAAAAAGTTAAAATTGATTAAAAAAAAATCAAAGAGATAAAGGTTTTTTTTGCACATGGCAAAGAAATAATCAACTTAATTATAAAGAATTAATAACTTAAATATAAAAACATAGGTTTTAGGTAGATTTCATAATATATTTCAAGGACAAGAAGATGATAAAAATAAATAAACAAGTGAAACTTCTCTCAAAAAAAGTTGAAAAAATAGAAATAACTTGATATGTATATTAAAAAAGAAATTGGAATGGCTATTGCAAAAAACCAAGCAAATTAGAAACCCTTAAAACTAGACTGGAAGAAAGAAAGGAGTTGACAAGAGTGAAGAAGGCTTCACTCTTATCTCTATATATACTATCTAACTAGGGGCTATGTGGCAATGTTCTATAAGACCTCTAATATATGTTGACTTTGTAGGACACATGCCTTGACTTATAAAGCAAAATTTTCCACGTGTGGGCCACATAGTTAGCTTGGTCATTAAGCTAACACCATGTGTGGCACATGGCCAACTTGTTGACAACGTTTCTAATCCAAAAAATCAATTAAAGACACCTATAAAGTCAAAGCAGCATCTATGAAGCTTCTAGGAAGCTTCCATAGTAAATATTATAGAATTAACTTACTTTTATTTATTTTTACTTACTTCTATCTATTTATACATGTAATTACTGGCTTACATGAATATGTCCGTGACAGTATACAATCTTAATAGAGTGAATCTAGTATTATAGAATACTTTCTTGGACTTCTTTGTAGTTGAACTTTGTTGGAAGGTCAAAATGAGAGTAGTCATGGTTGAAGAAAATGAAAAAGTAGTAGACTTACCATTCAAAAATCTATTCATGTTATATCAATTTAGGATTTTTGTAGTTTTTTAAAATAAGTTAGAAGGAGAGCAATTCTTCTTGCACTTCAAGAGTAGTGATTTTGATTTTAATTGTAATAATAATTTTTTATATAATAAAAAAATTTTATTGAAGATAACTTTGCACTTTACAAAACTTATCAAAGGTTTGATGATTAAGTTTGGAGATGTAGTAACAAATAAGCTTCCAAAAGAACTCTCACCTAATAGATTTGTGGATCATAAGATTGAATTAGTCCTCCATATATAATCTCTAAGCAAAACACCTTATAGATTAAAGCAAATGAAGTTAAGTGAATTCTAAAAGCATCTCAATGAGTTGCTTAAAAAATATTATATTAAATAAAATAAATCTCTATTTGATGCCATAGTTCTTTTTATAAGCAAAAAAGATGGAAAATGAAGATGTTCATTGATTATAGAGCCTTAAATAAGATCACCATTAAAAATAATTATCTACTTTTACGAAAGTAAATTTTTTCCTCAATTCAAATTATGAGATGGCTTCAATTAAAAATTTCTTATAATTAGTGGTATGAAGTAGAAGATAAAATAAACAAGAAAATAAGAAAGAATAACATAAAATAAGTGAAATAAATATAATCAAGAAATTATATACAATAAAAGTAATTTATAATTTTTTCATTAAATTTTTATCTAATAAAATAAAAAATAAAATAGTAATTTATTTTACATAGGTAATTTTATTATCTTTCTAATAACATAAAAAACACATAAATCTAAATTATTATGAATAAGTTATAAAAGTTTAAAGATAGAAAGTAAGTAATTAAAAAGTAATATTTAACAATAAATAAAAATAATAAATTAACTAAGATAATTATTTCAAAGACTTATTAAGATTCAATTTTTATAAATTTTCTCATAATAAGACT